GAGCACGTGATAAGTCTACACTTAAAATTAACAATTTCATTGGTGCCGATACCCGGGATCGTCAAATTGCTCGAGTAGGTATATTAAATTTTAATTTAGCTATCACGGCTCGATAGAAGTGTATTTTCTTGCGAATTACGTTATATTTAATTTAATGAACAATTATTTCAATATTTCAAGTAATGCTTAAGCAAGTATTTTATTCAAAAGTATGAAATGTACAATTTTAAATTCAACAACAAAGGTAAAACCTTAAAAAATCTACACTGATCTACGTCAAAGAAAAACATAAAAAAGGAAACAAAGTACGATATTTATTAAATAATGTGATGACCTTACCGAGGCTTTAGATCTGTTTACAGTTGAGGAAACACAAAAATTGGCTCCCGTTAAGTTTGTGACAATGTTAGAATTCGACAAACTGTAAAGCTCAGAAATACATTGAACAAAACTTTATTCATTCATTAAATAGAACGTGATGTCTGAACAACGAAACTTTTCTATACCTCTACTGTGATCGAATAAATTGAAACGATATTTCTGGAACGTAACGAAATTTTATTAAGGAAAATGTATTTTCCTTTAACGTGATTCTGAAATATCGCAGTTTTACACCTTTTGTTTGCAGTGTATTAAATTTATGATATTAGATCAAGTACAATGTTCAAAAATAGTGCACAGTGAGTTCTTACAGAATGCAAATATTAACAAATACATATATTCCTGTGAGGATTGCGATATGTATCATATATATGATACATATCGAAATCCTCACGTGAATATATTATTATCTATTTGAGTACATGAGTACTACATTATATGTGTTAATCTTTAATTTTGTTTCTGATCATCTGTTTTCCGTATCCAGATCATTAGTATTTAAGTTCTACGATTATGTTTTTATACTCTTCTATTCCAATTTACAAGAGAATGCCTAGGCAGATGAATAGTTTATTCACATGGAGAAGCCATCGATAAATTGACGGCCTGCACCGGATATTACATGTCGGCAGATGGCTTTGAGGCGAAACACGTTATGTGCAGCTCATTTCACTACGAGAGAGTATTATGATCACTGAACAATTTGGCGCTTTAGTTTTTTTTTAATACAATGGGGTAAAAAATAGGACCAGTTCTACATTAACGTGTTTTTTTATTTAAGAAGCGAACTGGCGCTTAACCTGATGCTATGCGATAAATACCAACCATTGACATTTGAAACACAGGCAGGGTTACAGATCCGTTACAGACTAAACGTATAATACTTCCACTTCACGCCGGTCTTTTGTGAGGTCATGATACTTACCCTGACGGACCCGCCCATTCGTGTAACAGACAAGACTGTTGCGTGGCCCTAGCACAGTTTTATTTATATAAATATACGAATTATTTAATTTGAGATTTTTTACTGAAACAAAAATATTTTTTTTCCATCATTGACCAATAACAAATAAATGCATGTAGCCGAGTATGATAGCTGCATTTATTCGCTGAATTGTTGTTAAGTGTTATACTTGCCCTTTGAGCAAGAAAAGAACGGGATCTTATCACCATTCGCAACGATAGTCGAGGAGTGGTTTTCACTCTGTAACAAGTAAAATTAAATACTAGCGTAAATTTCTTAATAATTTCTTTTTTATCTATATACTTTTACATTTTTCTGGTGTAATACAGGTCAACGTCGCTTTTCAGCGTTAGTTTCGAATCGTGTGTTCTTAATTAAGAACTAGAGTCGAGCTCTTGGTCGCTGCTTTATGAAAAGCGGTTTGAACAGAATTAAGTTATGAAATATAAATGGAATTTAAATTACATTTCCAGCTGTAATACGTTTGTAAGCATACATTCAAATTATACAACTTAATTTATTTGACGCATAAATGCAATATGCCTTTTCCTTCTTTATGGGGTATATTTTTTGTTTCTTGAAGTTGCGGTAAGGCAAACATGAAAAATACATTAAAAGAAAGAAATGAGGATTCCCAGATGGTTACAACAAATAAAAAGTTAATGTTTATCTAAGCACTGGAATTCTTTGTATGCACTTTCTTTTTCAAATTCTTTTGCCATTTAGAAATAAAAAGCTCTATCGTTAAATATTTCACTATAAAATATTTTCAAAAGGCATGAGTTGGAAACAATTTTTCTTTTCTACTTCCTAGACCTTTTTATGTTCTAACGCGACTTACGCATTTTCCGACCACCTTTAATCCTTTTCAGCTCATACTTTATTTCTGGTAAGAAGATGACGTCATGCTTTATGAAATTAGACCAAAATAAAGAAGTGTGGAAGATAAGATGACGAAGCAACAGCCCGTAGTTCCCCGCGTTAGATAATTTTACGCTCACAAAAGTGAACACTTCTCACTTACTTTTATTAGTAAGCTATTCAGCATTGATTTTGTCCGATTTTATAAATCAATAGAATTAGATACCAGTCTCAAAGCTACACACCTAGCACTTCCCCAGAAATATCCCAGCACTTTTCAATCGCTGCACTTCGCTAGTCGTTCGCGTATTTTTGAAAAGGCAAATCATCAACACACGCCAAGGTAAATTAGCACGTTTTGCCAAACTAATTTGCCTACAATACTGTCGTAAACAGCTCCAGATAAGCGCGCGTAAAATTCAGAAATTACACAGCACTACTCCACGCAATTTCATGGGTCAATTTAAAAAAGTTTCGTAACAAAAAGTGCATGCCAATTAGAGTGTACACTATAAGTAAACTATCCTTCTGATTTTGGCCGATACTAATCAGTTTCCGTCATATTTATCGAAAACCGATGCTTATGAAGTAAACGTGCACTTTTCGAAGCGAATTAATTTTAATCGACATACAAAGTTTTCTTGGCACCAAAGTACGACGTTAACGTTTACAGTGAAAAGCTTAATCAGTTTAAATAGACGTTTTGGATTATTAATGTTGTATACAAAATATGTTAATGATGCGCATATAATAATTTATTATTGAAGACAAACTTCGGTTATGTTGTACTCCTTACTATTGGGATAGTTAAAATTGATATACCATTTGGATGGGACATCTATTTCAATATAAATACATGTAGAATAAGAAGACGGATGATGTGAAGAGTGAGAAGTAAAATTAGAAATTAATCCATCCGCAGAGGCCAATACAGGACAATATTTGATCGGAAAACTATTAAACACATGATTAAAATTTATTAAAAAAAAGGACGAAAAGATTTTCGCGACCGCGGGAATCGAGCCCACGTCTTCCGAAATCGCTCCTCGCGGACTAAGATCTAACATATTTTATCTACATGTTTTTCGCCTTTAACCCTATTAATTAAAAACTAGTACTGTATTAGAAGTTGTTCAAATTGCAGCTCAATTTGTAAATGTTACAATTTAAATCATTCAATATAAAGGGTGGTTATTCCAAAGGTGCCCAAATTCACACAGAAAGTTCAGACTCGTTATTATAACCGTTTATTGAAATAAAAACAAACTTTTTTTTTTTTAAATTCCATTCCATTCCCTATAAAACAGAACTAGTTGAAAATGCGGTTGTCATTCATAAGTGCATCGTATACTTTTGAAACGAACTTGTGTGCGTGTTAGTTATGAGTGGTCGCGCCTAAAATAAATGAGTTGCCCATAAATCACGCACTTTTTGAGATAAGTTCAAATGAATGTATTTAATTAATAAAGAGTGATTTTAAATATTTACCATTTTCTATATACTATATATTTCGTATATACGAGTAAAAGTAAAGTAACAGCCTGTACATGACCCACTGCTGGGCAAAGGCCTCCTCTATACAGAGGGTATCAGAGCATAGTCCACCACGCGGCCCCAATGCGGATTGGGGACTTCACTTATCTTTGAAATATATTTTTTTTGTTATTATTTCGAAAACATGCAGGTTTCCTCACGATGTTTTCTTCACCGCGGAGCACGTGATAAGTCAGCACTTAAAGTTAAAAACTTCATTGGTGCCGGCACCGGGGATCGAACTCAGGTTGCTCGAGTATATTGAATTAAAAGCGACCGCCCGGACACTGAGCTATCACGGCTCTCATATATACGAAATGAAGAACAAAAGAAGAGAATAAATAATATTCACTTCACTTTATCTACCCACTGATTGCTACTATAAAATATATTTTAGTATTTAGTTCTTTAAATAAGATACATTCTATATAAGTATATACATACTTCATTGAATTAGTACAGTATACACTAAAAACGTTTATGACTTTCGTTGCACAACACTTTTATTTTTAACGTCATAAAGATATGACTTTTTTCACTTCAAAGAGTTATCTTTTTGTAGAACTATAATAAAATTTTGTGGAATCGCATAAAACGCAAACCGCTTATAGTCATACATTTTGCGTATCAAACTGAATGGCAGCATGACTCTCTTTGGGGTTGAAATATTGCCGTATTTTATATCTGCTGTTGTAAATCCATATTTACGTCACAAATGTGGAAATCTGTTGGCTTACACTCAAATGGAGAGCTTCAACTAAATCGAGGATAAATCTATTCTCAGATGATTCGGATAAAGAAATGGGTCCTTTGTTTTTTTCGTACAGTGTTTCAAAAAAGGAATAACCTTAAATATCCTAAGAAATAATCAAAAATACTCCAACGTTAGCGGTGATTTTCTTAAATATTAATCGGGTTTCACAAAAAGAATTTAACAAAACGGGAATATACAAAACACAAAATTTAGAATTTTTTTTTGTGTAGAAGAACTAAAAAACAAATCTATTATGCATTGCACATTCTAAAAATATACCCCTGCTTGCATAGACAATCACAGAGAAGTATTTTTGGAAATAGGTTTTGTTGATCAATACCACACCGAATTTAGCCTTACATCCTGTTCTTTCCGAATTTTTAGGAACGAACGTCCTCGAAGCTGCCTGCAGGCACTTTGAGTTGCTAGGAATCGTTATGAAAGGAAAAATCGTTATCGTATAGCGCTTCAGAGTTCGGAGTCATCATGGAAAGGATATTACAATGAATGTTAATTTTAATTACAGGTGGCGTTGGCGGGTCAGGGGTGTCAGTCTCCACCCAGGTAAGTTCTTTGAAAGTAAACATTTTCTTCGTAAAGCAACAGAAAATTCTAACTTGGAACTAAATTTTAATTATGAAAAAACGTTTAGTCATAATATAGTTTCCCGTGATTTGACACTACATTATTAAACGAAATCTAATAGAATCTGTTACTATTAAAATTTTTGTACTAAAAGTTTATATTTAATACCGTTATTGAAACCAATTACTTAAGAAAAATAATGTTAGTGGAATACTTTCCAGACATTAAGGGAGATGTCTCAGAATTGCTAGAGCTTGGTTATGCTTAAGTGGTTACTATCATTAATGGTAAAACGCAAGTTTTAGGGTTAGATCCCCGCACCAATGTTAAGGCAAAAAACCTCTTTAAGGAAAATGTATATTAAAGGAAAAGAGAAAAGATAAAAGCCTCTAAGTGGTCCAGTCGACTGGTAACAGTTGTGAACCCACCCTATCGCTACGGGCACCCATTTAATAATACGATTCCATTTTAATGAAATACTGTCCAAAGTATAAAGAAGTCTAAAAGCCCGCCCAAGTTTCAGGTGTTCCCTCTCATCTTGGACGAATTTGAGGTATAAGTAACGAGTGACGAAATGAGACGAAAATTTTTTTTGGAAATGTCATGATGTAATATTGTGGTCCTCAGTACGGTCTTTGTGTTGAGGAAAAATGTAAAGTTATTTGAAAATACATCAAGTACAATAAGATCTAATTTAGTGAAATATCGCCCAAAGTATAAAAAAGCTCTCCCAAGTTTCAGATATTCCTTTGAAGAGCCGAAATCTTTGTTTTTTATGTAAAATATAATTATTAATATATCATTTGTTTGTAACAGATCTTCCCTATGTTAAGTGATATTTGCGTAACATGTTGAAACAACGGACATTACACAATATGCAATTAATTAACTGTTCTAGGTTGTGTACAAACAACATATACATGAAGTGCAAACAATAGTTAATATTCAAAGGAAGTTATGTTAGCTGGTGTATAATTGATTACTCACAACCGATCATTCCACAGATTGTATCGGAAATCTTAACCTGATATACATATTGTATGATGAATGAATGTGATTGAATACCACAAAGTTCAAAATGTCCCTGAATGTCATTTAAATAATAATGTATGTATATCGATAAATAAGCAAAGATTTAGTACAAATATATAAAGATACCATAAAAGTTGGTAATTTATGAATAAGAAAATATCTATTGTCTTAAACGTAATCTCTTGGTTGCAAAGTGACCAACTTTGACCAACGGTATTACTATGGTAACCAAAAATACTTTTTGACACCAATAATTTTAAGTTATTTAATTAAACCGTTATCTATTGCATTTATTATCTATTTCACAAACAATGAGTACTGGCACGGGGGATAAAATTTACTGTTATTTATGTTTTGTTACGCTAAAATATACGTAAGTTTTTTATTACTAAAAGTAATATGTTTCAGGTCGTCTGTTTAAATTGAAATAGAATTTAATTCCCTAAAATGTATTCAGATAAGAAAAAAGATCAAGTGTCAGTCGGAATCGCACACGAAGGATACAACACAGGATAAATAACATTATACTTAAGTAAGGACAATGTTTTTAAAATAAATAAATAAAATAATAAACATTGTTTATACTGGTTTTTAGTATTTGTTGTTATAGCAGCAATAGTAATACACCATCTGTGAAAATTCAACTGTCTAATTAACACGGTTCATAAGACAGCCTGGTGACAGACGGAGAGACTGGCAGACGGGCAACGGAGTCTTAGTAATAGGGTCCCGTTTTACTCTGTTGGTACGGAACCCTAAGATATCACAAATATCGCCAATTGAAAAGAAAATCTGTCAATATTTGTTATAAAAATTTATACTTAGTGAAAATTGAGTCCAATAAAACATAACAATAACCGACTAACCTTTCGTAAAGACTTGATGAAACTTAATGTCATCAAAAATGTCATTGAGTTGATTAAATATAATGGATGTAATAACTTGTACCGGTCTAAAATGGCCTTAAGATAATTTAAGTCGAGTCCCTTAGGCGCACCCATTTACTCAAAGAAATAATTACTCGCCGTTGTTTGAACAACTCCAAGTATTTCATTTAAATGACCAGGGCTTATTACGCATTTAAGTTAGAGATAAAAGAGGCTTGATAAATGGATTCTATTGTTTTAATATTATTTGTTCTTTGTCATGCTACTATTTATGATGAATACTTTTACGTCGAAAATATACAATTTTTCTCTGGGATTGGTTGAATTACAATTGTTTTATTTATGCTTTTTACAGGCATCAGTTTATCGATTGTATGATATTAGTGATATCTTTATATTTCATTCATCCTGCGGTAATCACTCACAGTGAAATTTCAATAGGTCTTGCAATCATTTGGAGCTGAATAAACTTTCCCGGTCTTTCAAAATCTTCCTCTGGAGCATATACCACTCGTGCTCAATCAAGGTTAAGTAGAGTTCTATCTACATATGAAACAAATCACGAGTTTAAATACGTAATAAATTAAGAGCATAACGTAGAATTATTTATATGTATGTACGTACGTTCCAAACTCCTATTACAACTAAAAGCATTGTCATGTCTATGACTTAAATTTTGAAGAGAAACTTCATTGCAACAGACAATTAAAGGTCCACGTGACAGGGTGATGTATATTTGACTGTGTTCTATGTTGTACACTCACATAAGTAAAGTAATTAGTGAGTTCAACTTCAACTTTAAACCACCGAGAAAATATTCATAACAAAATTTTTCGGTTAATTTAATAGCAACTTGACGTCATATGAATAACAAAATAGATTATAATCGACCCATATTGATTTTTAGTTAGTACTACAAAGGATATTATACTTATTTTTATGTTAGGAAATGGCACGCGAGTAGTGGTTTCACTTAATGTTAAGTTTCGTGATCGACATCACTGCCTCAGGTTAGTATGTTATCAATACTTAAAATACTGGGCCACGGTGACCAGATGAAACAAAAAAAAATCGGTAAACTTGACATTACTATACGAATAATATGCAATAAATGTATGTAATAAGATGATCTGTACATATTTCCGAAGCGTTATCTCAAACTGCCATAAATCGGTAATTTTAGTAATGAGATAAAAAAAATAGATCTTTGTTTATTCTAATCCCCTTCCTTCTTAAGCCTGTAAATAACCAATTCAACAATCCTTTACATGTATAAAAGCCGTGTATTGCGTATCAGGGTTTATATACAAAGAAAATGGGGTTTCAGAAATATGAAAAAGAAATATATATATATATATATGTATGTATATATTTTTATTATCATTTTTTAATATTTATAAACCTTCCGTGATACAAAAAACAAAACATCGTAATAAACATTATGGATCTTTTAAACATCTTTTACTACACAGTAGAAAACCACTGCTATTTTACAATTCGATATAATTTATTTCCCCAAACCCCAAACCCGTGGATTCTGGCTAGCCCATCGGTTCTGCGTCAGATGAAGCTTTAATAGTCTCGGGACTGAAAGCAAAAACATCAGTTAATACAAGATACAAGATAATTTATTTCACAACGAATCCGACGCCCATTAAGAATTGTGTTATTTTCGTAAACCTTGCATTCTGGGCTAATTTAAAAAGGATACAGAAAATTATATTTTTGCTCGCCCTATTTAAATGTGCCCCTGTGACAATTGTTAGATTTATATTAAGAGTCATTATGTATTTGGAATATTTATTGCAAGTAGACGTAGTTTTATCCATTTAGTAAAAGGTGTTTATTTTAATTTAATATAGTACAATAAACATATATTATTTAATTACCTACGAGAGCAGTAAAAACATTATATTTTTTCTATTTATTGTGGTGTACTACAAAAATAACAAAAGTAGGAGAAATGCGTATTTTGTATTGAAGTAAGTTTATTAAATAACAACGATGTTCTTGCTCTGTTAATAGGCGGACATAGCGCATTCGGCAAAAGGCTACGAATCAGAGGATGAAAACGCGGGCAGAAAGAGACAGAAGGCCAACGAAGACCGGCCAGCCAGCAAGACCACCATGTACTCAAAGCAGGTAGACCTTAACAAACCATTAAGACAGACAAACGTTCTATTATGTTACTGATAAATGTTCATAAACAATGTTTTTCTTTTATGTGAGGAGGCGGCAAGTGCTGGCGGTTCACCTGATGTTAAGTGATAACCGCCTCACGTGGACATTTGCAACACCCATCGGGTTGCAGATGCGTTGCCACCTTATAATAAAGTGGACCCCGGCTACCTCACTCACCAGACGCAACACAAAAGTATGACACTTCTATTTCACGTCAATTTAGACGGTGGTACTAACCCGAACGTGCGCGTGTTGCTTGGCTCTACCACGGTTAAAGCAGTTGTTTTGTTTATTCACTTTTTAAATTATATTAAGTGCGGGTGAGTGACTAATTTTGTTTTTATCAATTATAAAGCACGTCATGTGATGTTTTTAGTCTAGCTGTACCTTCTGATATCTTCAACCTTTTTTTATAAATTCACGACCATTCTTGACCTGTTCTTTTGTTAGAGAGTTGCAAGCAAACAGACAAACAGATATTATATGAATCGTGTCGCTCATTAAAATCTCAATTACATGTAAATACCAACATGTCTGTCGACACGAGCATTCAGCAAACGCATCCTTCCATCCAAGTGGCAAAGTTACTGAATAACTTATTTCAGTTGATTTTTGTCAGAAACGATAAATATGCCATTGTAAAGCCGCAAAAGAAATGTAACCCCAACAAAAGCTTTCGATCATACGTGGAATCGAAGGCAATTTTGCAATTTCGCTAACTGAACCCGATAGCTTCACGGTTGATGGATGAGCCCGCCGAAATTGTATTAGTTAAATAAAGCCAACCGAAGCCGCCGTTGCGTTAGATCACACCGCTTCGTCGTGTTACATTTATCTCAAATTTTTCAGGTGGCACCCGATAAAATATTTGCAGATAAAAGTGGGGTAGCCGACAAGAGAATAACTCATAACATCGTTTATAGACGATTTCTATACAAACAATATCAGTGTTTTTATAAAATATATTTTTTTTGTCAAATATAAGTTTATATTTATTTTTTTAAAAATATTGAAATATGTATCATTGTTTGGGTAATTGTTTAATAAATAATATTTTACTTGTTAAATGATATTTTTTTCTTCGCATATTGTTTTCCCATAATTTTTAAGTCGAAGATGTTTTTAAACATTACTTCCTCCGTATAACATTATAATTCGTATTCGCTGTTAATCGCGGCTTCGCCCGCGCGGCCTAAGGAAATTAACAATAAGTTTTTAGTATACACCAGAATATCTCGCAGATGGCTTGGACAATTCCCAAAATATCTTTATAAACTACAGCCTATGTGTTTTCAGTTCCATACTTACAAACTTTCGCGTTTATAATATTAGTAAGGAAGTAAGGATGAGACATTGATTCGCAATTTTTCGTTTTTCGTACGTTAATGGTACATAAACGAACATCCATATTCTGCAATGCAAAATCCAATATTAAAACAAATTTAAATTGATTTCAAACACTTCACATTTTTAAAACTACGTAAAGTGGAAATAAAATAGTGGTGCCTAATATGGCACCGTGGTGCATAATTCTAAAGAGCTTTTTTTCCAATGCATGCAATAATTATTTCTTCAGGAGTTCCGAGAGCAATACTGCATCAACAACAAACAGTTGGATTTGTTGGAGTTGGAAAAATCAAAGAAAGACAGATTCCTCGGCTGCTTGTCGCAATACCACATCGAGAGTCCATGCTCGAGAGCCAACAGGTAGGTGCTGTTAAAAAATGAATTTATGAATATTTTTTGAAATGAGAATTATTAAAAGATGAAAAATGAAAAATGAGAGTGAAATCAAAACATGCGCCATATTAGTGCATAAAGTACACTAATTCCACTATACAAACTTTCTTGAGTTCGAATCATGGTTTTTATTTAAATATCACACAATTTTAGTTTCCTAAAGTTGGTTAAAATCTTCTTTAATTAACGTGGAAGACTCTTGTATTTCACATTTTTCCAGTGTTTGTTCTTAAACGATATAATCTGATCGGTAAGGGGGAAGTCGGTGTTGGTATAAACGTCTTCTCTTATTCTGTTACACTTCTGTTGCTAGAGATGGATGTCATTATCACAATAATAATCTCTCGGAGATCAATCAAATATCCTCCTTCCAATGATGTTTTACGCCAATAACGAAAACTTTTACTCCGGGCACTCATACTGTAATTATGAGTGATCATTTGATATAAATTTATTAAAAAATTCTTCAAAATTCCTACAACTTCGAACAATAATTGAGTCTCACGTCTAGGTGCAGCTTATACAAATATCAACACGACTCGCGGAAACTAATGATAAATTTTCTCCCCCAAATCTGCCACTTCACAACCTTACTTACATTTCTTATGAAGTTTTAAAAGTCATCATACAGTCCGTCTTACGTCCTAACGGTACTCGGTCTACTAGATTTTTTTATTATTCCCATTGGACTGATATGTGAGGGTGCTGGGAATTAACCATAACTAAAAATAGTTTTTCATTTAACCATGAATTCATTCTTGTAAATAAAATATTCTTCATTTCTCTTCACAGGGTACTTTTTTTTGGACATTGATATGTGAGGGTATTGCTGGGAATTAACCATCACTAAAAATAGTTTTTCATTTAACCATGAATTCATTCTTGTAAATAAAATATTCTTCATGGGTTTTCTCAAGATTTATAATTTTCACAGGGTACATAACTAAAAATAGTTTTTCATTTAACCATGAATTCATTCTTGTAAATAAAATATTCTTCATTTCTCTTCACAGGGTACTTTTTTTTACAGTTCACATTAATAACTTCTTTCGGCGTCAAACAAATCTTAACACATTCGATTTTCTGTAAAGTATTCAAGGAACGTAGGAGAGCTGTTACAATTTGTTAGCCTTTTCATTATTTTGTGCGTATAAAATATCAATGTATAAATTTTACTCTTTTACTTGTTTTACCATACCATAAAATGCTGGATAATGGTTTTTTTAACTTGCTATAAAGTTAATCTTATATTTATAATTCAAATGCTACTTTAACTTACATGCATAAGCATGGTTTTACATGAGCAAGATTTATAATTTTCACACAGTTTAATGAAAACATTTATTTATAAACTCCTAGTATTTGATTGAAAGTTTGCTATGTCAAATTTTAGGATAAATTAATGAATAAACTCACGAATTTACCTAATTAATAAAAAGCCCGCTAAATCACAAACTACAAAAACCTGCATATATCCTAGGCTACGGGAAAAGTTTAAAATAGACCTGAAATTAAAAATACCATTCGATTAAGTAGGTGTACTTTCAAAAGTAATTTTGAATTACTAATAATAAGTGTAACTGTTGGGTTTCACAAAGAGCGATAAAACTTCCAAATGTCTTCTTCCTCAGTAACACTAACACGGCTGGATTTTCCTTAATCTTACACAGGTATGATCTTACTATGAACAAGGTCACTCCCCCGGGTCCTATCAATGTCCTATTCATGCATAATATATAAGTTGCGTAGTCAGTTTCCGACAATGTTTGTACGTACGACTCAGAAATTGTTGGCCCCATGAGGTTGATAACAGATCCCTTTTTGACGTTCATATAATATTCAAGTTTATTGGAAATGCTTTCTACTATTACAAGTGGTTCTTACGAAAGTACTGGAAGTAACGTCCCTTACCTTGTAACTAAGTATACCTATTTAATAACGTAACTAACAATAGATGAAAAAACCAAAGTACTTTCGAGTGTTAGGGTTGAGTAATTTAGTCTCATTACAATAGATTACTATAATTTTTTATGTAATTACTGAGCATTTGGGAAATATGTAGCAAGCTTAGTGGTCAGTGCTTACTTTGTTATTATGTGAATAGTTTGCAGGCTACCTAATGTTTAAGTGGTTACCACTACCCATGGGCATCTACAACACCTGACGGGTTGCAGAGGCGTTGCCAATCATTAAAATTTTCTGCCCCAGTTACCTCACTAATCAGATGAAACGCGAAAAGAATTGCTTTGCCATTTCGTATCGGTCTTCTGAGAGTCGTGGTGCTTTCCCAGAAGAGCCTGCCCTTCCACGCAATAACACAAGCGGCTCAGTGGCCCTAGCAACTTTTTAGTGTTTATTCGTGTTTATGCTACGAACAATCCATAATACACTATTCTGTAAAATACCTATGCAATGTATAGAACCCCTGAAATGTATTGGTAATGTATTAAATATTAAACTAATCAAAACAAAATAAGGGTCACTAGATTTTTTAGCCTACTGATAAATACATTAGGTTTCGGGGTTAATAAAGGATCAAACCAAATTAATAGAATAATATTTAATGAAAAGAACTTTGCACCAAATATCTGTGTGAACACTGTGTACCACTTGGGGTCGAATCACATTCTCTTTGTATCGCTGATCCGTTATGGTGCTGTCATTGAGGATGACATAAGCTTGGTTTTACCTGATATAATGATTCCTCAGAGAAAACAGAGCAAACAACATCTCAACTTTTGTGTTTATTCCCAGGAGACGAGTATGTAGTCCACCAATCCGCAGTGGACTAGCGTGGTGGGCCATGCACTATGCACTTGCAGTAGTATATCAAAGATATACTTCTACTTACTTATTTACCGTACCTGTACCATGCAATTATTACTACATTTTACTCTTGTCAATATTGTATTTACATTGAGCATTGCGCAAACCGCTTTTTGCATTGCCTCAAATTTTGAACAGTGATATAGAAATATAAACACGTGTAAAATAATCATTGACGTTCTCGTCAATAAAAGTAAAATACCAGCTTGTTCGTACACATCCCATTGTCGGGAAAAACAAAGGCAATCCTTATCGCTAGGTTATTCTTCGTTAAAACTCGTTAGCCACCACAATTTAATCCAATATACGCATTTAATTTAGAACAAGCGAAAAGTAGAGATTAATGTGACAGCCTCTAAGATTTAGGAGGTCTAGTTAATTAAATCACAAAGTAACGGAGTGGTCCCTATTGTCGTATTTGCTACTGCCACGCTTACACAAATAAAACTTACTCCATTGAGAAAAATGTCTTTAATGTCACACGATAAAAAAAAAACTCACACTCATAGTGTGATCGAAATATATCACTTTGACTTAATGTTTTAGTTTGACTGTTTGATAAACTTCTATGTTCTGTTTATCTCCTAGTTAACGTTTCAACGCACATTGTTACTTTATATAGTTATTTATACACTGTTTTTTCCTTTTCGTTTTTACTTTCTGATTTCAGTGTCTGTGTGATGTTTTCTTTTTTTATTATCTTTTTTTGTACTATATTATCATTTGCTGTTGGTTTTCCTATCAACGTATCAAATAAATAAATAAATCAGGACAACAGTTTTCTAATTATTGATTTTCGTACCCGTATTATAGTATATCCACTAGTTATAGAATATTTTAGGGTAGATAAATAAGGGAATTCTAGGGATCCCAAGGAGGTTTGTCGTCAGGCAGGCGGCCGGTCATTAAAAATAAAGCCAATAACTGAAATAACAACATGGTTCCAAAATAAATGATGAACATGTTGTGCTGATATCACCTAGTGTGGCATCAGGGCAGAAGAAAGAAGAAGAAGCATCAAATAAATAAATGAATAAATTACTTATCGGTGAATAGCGTAGCTATATATACTATCTTGCTGGGATATATTGATACAGCTGATATGATAAAGCTATACTATCTTGCTGGGATTATAGCGTAAAGTTAAATGAAAAATACTTTTCAGAGCGTCATTTTTATCCGTGTGCGTCCGGCGGCGAGTGCCCTCGGATGAGAATCTCAACACCGATTATGCACCCATACAGCGGTATCCCAGGTAAGGTCTCTCGAACTGTTATGGAGCACCATTTACTCGAATGTCCTCAATGTATATAAAAAGCAAAACATAGCTTTAGTATGTTCTTCTTCAGAAAAAGAACTAGCGGATGAATTGACTTGATGATATAGCTAATGAACAGGGAGAACACTCCGTTATTATATACTTTTTCATCCCAACAGAAACGAAGGTGAAAAACCACAGCGAAGCGTGATTGGGTTCAAATAGTATATTATATATTTCTCCAACGTAACATTACTTAATCCTTACTCCAAGCTAACGGAAATCTGAATCTATGAATTTAAGTTAGAAATAAAAAGATTTTCACTACGTCTGCTGTCCATATCACCAGTTAAATTGGTGATGGCTAGAAATTTAAAGGGTGTTTAGATTTAATTTTTTTTTTTCTAATATTCTTCACCTTTATCATGACTTTTGAATATTTATAGTGGCTTTTTAGAGAAGAATATTGTTTTGGATAAGATTCCCTGGTCGGATACAACTATTTTTTTAGAGAAAATTGGTGGAATGGAACCTCTGCCCATGAGGTCACTTTAACGAAAAAGTATAACGCCTCCACTTCACGCCGGTGCGCTGTGAGATTGCGGTAATTCCCGGACGAGTCTACCCATTCCTGCAACGGCAGAAGCTGCTGCAGAGTAGTTGTTATCAGTTGTTATTAGCCGTTATCATTCATTATTGTACTTATTTATCCAAACAGATTTGGCCAACCGGCGCCAGCACCGCCCGAGCTGTGCGCATACGACGCAGACCTGGAATGCTCCTACTTTCGCCGAAGGCCTCGCTCCGTTTGCAGTCAACCTGACCCCAAACGCTACACCTGGATGCCTGAGGATGAAGACTTCACCCGGATGGAGTGGCCACAGTAAGTCTCTGCCCTTTATACTTTCCTAAAAGTTTATGCTCGTTAAAACAGTTGATTTTAACTGCGTGAGAGCGTTCTGTGTTGATTCAGCGTAAAAGCCCTTTCAATTATTCATTAAAATCCCCTTTACCGTAGCACCGTGAAAAGGTCACAAACACTGTAACACTAACGTTTTCAATTAATAACTGGTTGTTACCCAAATATTACGTTAATTTATATTTTGTTTTCTAAATAATACACATTCTCTTATACGAGTAATTGGCACTCAATACAAAAATTCACTTTAAGTATGAATTTTTATTATTTAAAATTGATTCAAAATAATCACTTTATATGAATAAAAAATATCAAACATCGTTTAATTTAATCCGCTCATTTTGTGGCTCTAGTTTGGGTAATTTATAACAACTTCAATGTATGAGATCACCAAACAGTTATATCGATATCAGCGGTTGAATTAAACGTTCCTGCGTTTTTACAGATCGGTAATAGAAGATAACGCGGGTTGGCCGCAAAGTTACAATGTCGACCAAATCGCGTCCGTCAGTCGAGGAGGGTCCCTTCCGAGGCCACCTTCAATAATACCGTAAGCGATTCATGTATCATCCTATTCCAATGGAACTTACGATTCAAATACCCCACATAGACGGCACATAGTTAACACTGAAAGCCTAAGCACATTTAGACATGGATATACCCATGATGATGCAGATTTTAAATGCCAATAAACAGTCGGCGACCTTATTATTTATCTTAGACCTAGGAGTGAAAAGAATATTAAAATACGAATACTTATATTAAATTAATTACAGTAAGTAAAAGAATATTATAAGATATTTTTAACCCATGATGTCCATTGGCCTCACACTAGGCAAGCTTGTCCTGTGGGTAGGAGTGTCTGTTAAGATGTATAATATATAATTATTAGTTTTTCGAGTATTTTGGCTTTGCTCGCGTTTAAGCCCTTAAATAAAGATCTTTCTTTAAAATATATGCATATATTTTAAAGTTTTTTTCCAATAAAAAAATAGCCTATCTCCTTTCTCAGGCTCTAAACTCTGTATACTAAAATTCATTTAAATCGGTTCAGTAGCTTTGGCGTGAAAGCAAGACAGACAGACAGAGTTTACTTTCGCATTTATAATATTAGTATGGATAGTGTTTGTTCGAGCGACACCTTTATAAAAGCGAAACTTTTATCCTTAAGACAAGACGAATGAAACGTAGTGTTCTGCATTTTTATGCAAGGTTTTCACCCTGCTATAACATATACTAACAAAATACTTAGAAGTGATTGCAAGCCTTATGATACTCTTAAAGAATATTTAGTTTTTTCTAACATGCTTTATTAAAAATACGCTTGGTAATAAAACTGCAAACATTGCCATACATTCGCTCGTTTTTCAACGACACACTATTATGAAGCATGTTACTTAATTTCAAAAATATTTATAGTAGCAAACATTAAAAATAACTAACCCTTAACACAATACCTTATCTTCATATATCATATATGCATATCGTGTCACAGTGGCTAATCAAGGCTAGAAGAGAGCCCTTTAAAATTATTATTTGACTTATAATTAGTTTAACCGATAATGTTAAAGCAAGTAGAAAACCCTTTTATATCATAATCTATACAGTCTTTATAATTATTTTAGGAAGTTGCCAACCAACACTTGCAAAACCAAAAAATATTACAACCTAATCCACCAATTCTTTTCCAAAATACATAGTAAAAGGTACTAAAAAACTTTTTTTCGTTGAGTAATATATTACAAATATCGTATACTCCTTTATTACGCCCCTTTTACAACTCTCGTTCCAACGATAGTGTTATGACTGAAAACGTTTTACTGTTTTCAGTTGCCCTGCACACGCTCCCATACCGCCACCGCCTCCACCACCACCCCTCACTATACCTCCACACAGGTAAGGTTATAGATTAAACTTATAAAATTATTTCCAACTATTAGCCGATAAAAATTAACGCGCACATTTTTAAATTTTTGAACATTGACAAGGAATCAATTGTTTACAGATTAAAAAAGTTAATCAACTAACTAAAACAACCTAACGCTTCGAAAATAATCGTATTAAGATTATTTTCACAACTTTTGTATAATGCTGTCTATTTTATCTTGTCATAGAACAAAACACGTGTCGTTCGCCCGTTCCCATACACTAACGACTTTCGACGATTCCGTGATGCCTGCAGCCGTTGGCGGAAGTCGTTTCAGGCGCGACTGCGAACGTTTGATTGATGGGAGAGTGGTCAAGGTATCATATTATTCTTTACTAAATCTTTTTTTTTTTTTTTCACCTGAAGTTAAGTGATAACCACTGCCTATGGACACATGCAATACCCGAAGGGTTGCAAATGCGTTGCTACCTCCAAATAAAGTGGGCCCCGGCTACCTCACTCACCAAACGAAACGCAGAATTGTAACACTTCTACTTTACGCCGGTCTTCTGTGAGGTCGTGGTACTTAACCGGATGGATCTGCCCATTCGTGCTACAGGGAACACTGTTGCGTGGCCCTACCACAGATTATAAATCGCTTTAAAACATAAATTGTGTGTGACCTTATTGACACTTATGTTATAACCGTTAAATTTTTTGAGATAAGCTGCCAAATAAGCGGCCAATTTACCTGGTTTTAAGCGATTACCCCTGCCTAAGGTCAACTATCCACGATTAGCCAGTTTATTGAAGCATCAGCAGAAGCTGGTGGGAGGCTAAAAAGTTCATTTGTTCTTTTCATCATCGTCTCTTTCAACCGAACATTGTCTATTGCAGCAAGACAAGCCTTATTCGACATTGCCAGTGATGTTTCAACCGTTTGCGCCATTCCCGCAATACATGGCGGCACCGAGCGCGCCAGGACCGATACACTATCCACCTCCGATCGCTACCTTACCAACGCATCCAGTAGCGCCACTGCAAAGACCGCCGCAACAGGAGAAGCCAAAAGTCGTCGTATTAGGTAAAAGAAGGTTCATTGAATAATAAATTGGCGATACGATACCAAAATATTTATTACAAAAATAAATAGCCACCACATATAAATGTATACTGCATTTTGTTTCAGATTCAATCAAAAAAGGAGTAATGCGCACACAGGCTACACAGACAGAAGTTTGCCTTGGAAGGAAACCTTTACCTCCAAATTATTTGTCTTTAAGCCCTAGAACTATTAAAAGAGTATGTCATTTTATGTACCTATTAAGATATTTAGAAATAGGTAGATTATTTTAGCTTATTATTCAAAAGTCAAAATGTCTTTATACAATATAGGCTCTTAAGGTCTTATTGAACGTCAAAACAAACTACCAACGGTTAACTAAATTAGACCTGGACAGAAAAGTACCGACAAGAACCTCTGCAGTCTTGTTCCCTTTTTTATTATTATTTCGTTGTGATACAATTATACAAACTTATTTAGATATAAAATCAGCAGCAGCCAGGGTTTTGCAAGTGCTGAGAAAGAGTCATTTCCACATGTCCTTGTCCTCAATGTATTCTTGGACATTATGATAGGCCGTTGCCATTAGAGTAACTTTTACATTTTTTTTGAAATTATACTTAGTATATTACTAGTTGTTTATACTTAGTTGTTTCTGGATGTCGCTTACTTTATTATAAATGTTAATGCATCTACCAAGAAACAACTTTCTGGTTTTAGCCAGTCTAAAACTCGGTACGTCCAGAGAGTCACCACGGCCCCGATGCAATCATTCTAATAATTAAGAAGATCATTCTGATCAATACAGAGTGTTTAACCATCCCTTTGGCAACTGAAACAACATTTGAAAAGGCGAAAAATGTACAGCTGATTAGTTAACTTCTACCAAGATCAGTGTTTCAGAAACCAAGCGTAAATCATACATTTTGTTTTAGTGGAGTTCAAAAGTAAATTCCTCGTAGCAAACCAGCCTGACACAACATCTAGTTTTTCATTTGGTTGTTCTAGTGTATCATCTTTTCTTTTAACCAATATTTAAGTGACATCCGCAAACAGAACGATTTGGCTTCTTATTCTTATTTAAATAACGTTATATATTATTAATAAATCAAAAGTTTTAAAAAGTAAATTTAGTTGTTAAAGTTTGTTATTTTATATTTAAGTAGTTTCAATCGCAAAGTTGTAACCGATCCATATATAATTTTCTGTAGTAATAACATCAAAAGTCAAATATGGTCAAGCTACCCTCCATGAGTCTTCACAATGAAACTCTGTTGTTATACATTCAGCTTCGACAAAAATGGAAAAATATAGTCTTTTTGAAAATAATACGTTTATACTGTTTGCGTTTTCTCTTAAATATATTTTTTAATTCCTTTATGGGAGGGAGTGGGGAGTTTTCGTTAAGCATAATTTATACATATGGGCTTGAGAAAATAGCCATGTTATTTGTCGCAAACAAGGTTGGCAAGGTTAATGTTTAATATTGAACTGTGTAAATTCGTGTTTATTTCATGGATTGTTTTTATGACTTATAGGTTAAAATGGTAGCAGCTGGTGTTCAAACTAACGGCTACACTGTTGGTTCACGGAGACTTACAAAATCGTTTTCTGAGGTTGGAGGAGATCGCTTAATGGGGAGAGAAACGCAAAATGACATCGAAACTACTTTCGAAAGGTAATTCTAACACGTTTTTATAAAATAATCAATGAGTTGATACCAATATAAGTACTTTATTCTAGCTTCATAAACCATGACCATGAAAAGTTACATAGAACTCAATCTGAGGAACCACCAAGATCACCGCGATCACCCACGTCGATAAAGCCATCATCACCTCTTATGCAAAGAGGAGATTCTGATGATGTTACTTCCTCCTCTATAAAATCTATCGCATCATCATCGCAAGTGGACAAATCCTCAGAATTGAGTGCCTTACAACGACAAACTCAAGAATATTTTCAACAAAACTATCAATTTATTCACGAAAGTGATCGTGATGACACAATTGACGACGATATTGAGAACATAGAAAAGAGTATGGCACTTAATCGACGTAACTTGGAATATTTACAACAAGAAATTGCAAAACAAACCAAAGCTGAGGGGTCTCTGAAATCAATTTTGTCTAAAAGCACAAGTGACGCTTCACAAAAAACAATAAATTCTTCGCACCCCTTATCAAAAACTTCAACGTTTCAATCTGAACCTTCAACTGAGACATCGGCAACAACAACAGATGATAGCGAGAAAAATGAAAAAGAAATAATAATAGATTTTGAGCCACGTCCTGACGAGGAAGCTATACCATTTACGACACTCCGAAGGAAAAATAAAAGAATGCTACAGAAAACAATGTCTGAAGGCGAAATTTTATTAGATGCGTAAGTTAATTATGATTAAGTCAGTTAAATATGCATAATTCGCAACGCTTATTTATTGATTATCGAAAATTTCTAGAAGGAAAAATGAAGTTAGTTCAAACAGTGAAGGAATCAAAGACGCACCGATTGTTATGTCAACTAGCCAAGAAAACATGACTAGGGAAGATCGTGAAAGAGACACCGCCTACAAACAATATGTTGGGCAAAATTATAATCAGACGCCAATCAAGGACGAGGGTATATTCGGCTTTGAGCCAGATGGGTCGTTCAGGTAAGCTGAAAATGAATAAAGTTTACCTTCAATAAATATTCCGTAAAGTTAGTATTGCTATGGCATGAAGTACTAATCTCTCGCACCAATCACGATATTTTTCATGGAATTACATGCAGCGAATCGTATTGCAACTATTCATACTTACTGTACGCCTCCCTTGCATATCTTTTCATTGCATAACTAATAACGTAAATGCTTTTTTTTCATTCTCATACATAATATTCTCTTCATAGTTCTTCCGACGGGAATGCACCATATGAAGATTTTCATGAAAAATATATTAGTTACAAGCATGAACCATTTAGAATTCGAAGTGTTAGTTTTGAAGAACAAACAGATACCAAGGAAGAAATACCTTCACCCAGGTATGGATTTTAAGAAACAAAGGGCTTTGGAACTTTTTCATGTTATTTAATAAAGTGGTTAATATTTTAAAATAAAATTATATCGATAGATAGAGATAGCACGGAAAGTTTATAAATAACGAAAACCTATTCTTTGTTTAAATGGTTCTAATAATCTATGGTTTTACGACGAGTTAATTTTAACAAACATAAATAATAATTATATTATCAAAATGTATAATAACTTGGTTGTATTAGAACTAATTTTTATTATATCATTTTAGCACAGCTAAATCTAGTCCGGGCTCTCCAGACCCTTTGCTTATCGTAAACGAAATGGAACAAAAGGTGAAACGAGCTGTAATTTCCAATAACGTAACAACAATCCTCACACCATTAGACAAAACATCACCGTGTGCATCTAACGAGTCTCTCACTATTGACCATAGCAGGTATGGCATCAATAATGGATTACTATTAAATAACATCAATGTAGTATTTTTAAAATTAAACTTTAAACTAAACTGTTGTAATTAAATGTTGTTATTTGATAAAATTTACTCTCACTTTTGTTTGGAAATCAACCGTTTTCATATAACATTAAAAAAACCGGCCAAGTACGAGTCGGACTCGCGCACGAAGGGTTCCCTACCATGTGGAAGAGGTAAAATTATGTATGTTGTATGTGGGAGCCCCACTTAAATATTTTTTGTTCTGTTTTTTTTTTATTGTGGCAACAGAAATACATCATCTGTGAAAATTTGAACTAACTATCATGGTTCATAAGATACAGCCTGGTGACAGAAGGACAGACAGACATATAGACAAACAGCGGAGTCTTAGTAATAGTGTCCCGTTATACCCTTTTGGAACCCTTCAAACATCTGTTACACTATTATCTTCTACTGCTGCTTTGTACATTCATTTACACTTTATCATTTCGTATCTACAACTATTAGAAATATGATACAATTTCCATAATAATCTACTTCACCAATACTGTTATGTGCATTAAAACTGTATATGTAAAAAGAAAATTGAATGTTATAAATTAGCTGCTTAACTATTTAAATGATAACTAGTGGATAGTTCATCATCAACCACATATTAATAACAATAAATAGTCAACACACAACTCCATTACAGGGATCACTCTGATGGAATGTGGAATGAATCGCAAACTACAGTGTTACAAGTTGACTCTGGTACAGAAAATGGAACTGTAATAAGGTAGATGTTTGTAGATGAAAATAAAGGATAATAAAACTTTCGCTTATAGTTATTTTTCTTATATTTCATGTATGAAATAAATAATACTATACAACTAACTTTTTAGCTCTTCAGATCTTAGTTCTCTTGCCGCATCCCCTGGAGCTCTTGCGTTGTTAACGCCTACATCCAGGAGGAAACAACTTCTATTATTACAGCATCAACAACGCTCATCTTTAGACACTGATGCTCTAGATGAAGAATTTGATGCGTCGCAGGTTGGTATTAATATTGTTATTATCTTATTTACCTGGATTAAAAATAACTTATATACTTAATTTTTTTACGCAGAGTCAATCACCCACCTCTCCACGAACAAAATTAGAAACATCTAGTATAAGCTCAGCTCAGCAAATGAGGGCTTCATTATCACCGCCAGCGGTAGTTCCTAGCATCACACTACCCATAACAAAGCAACCCATGATTTCAAAATCCCCATCGCCAACAGTAGCACCTAAACCTAATCATACGCCAGCCATTGCTATTACGCATCCAAGTCTAGATTTAACGGATGTTCCATTTAAAAGAACGCCCAGTTTCATAAATAAAAAGAGAGAAAGAGCACTAAGTCCATCAAGACGAAGAGAACTTCAAAATAAAGCTCAACAGAAGGAACCCAACGGATCAGTACCGAAACTGATCAAGGAATTGCCATCCGAACCTACACTAACAAAAACTACAAGCAGTGAAACCAGTCTTGCCAGAACTGATTCAGGTAAAATTAATACCACTGATGTGTCTGAAAGCACTACGACAACTGAAGATTACGTTACTGCAAATTCTGATAGTTCGAAAAGAAGTAATAGCAAAAATCAAAATAGTCGTGAGTATTAATTTTTAAAAATTTATTTTAAAATTTATTAAAGTCAATTTATCACAATGATACATATTTATGTGTGATAAATTTTTTAGAACCTGAAAATAATAAAACACAAGAAGGTTCATCTTTTGAAAGCGCGTCTAGTCTATATTCATCAACTAAAACAGATAACATAGCAGAAGATTTAATAGTTTCAAGTTTTTCACCACCACTTCAAATAAGTGATGACTTAATAGTTCCCGACCTGTCATCGCCCCCGATGCCATTATCAGAAAGAATTTCAAAACCCAGTGTGGAAAGGTTCGAAGTAAAAGCTGATATCAATCACACAATTCAACACCCAAGGAGAGAGAAGACTGAAATAAATAAACCTAAAGAAGAAATTCCAAAAACTGTAAGTAATGCAACAATATAAATTATTATAAATATTATAATAATTAATATTTGGTATTTTATGTTCTATTAGTTTTGCAAGAGCACAACAAAGCGTGATACAATAAGCGGTAAAAGTAGTTCTAGTGGTAGCTACAGTATAAGTGGCTCAAATCCAAATGTCACTGAAAATATTGACAATAAGAGTTACGGCAATGAACAACCAAAGAAAATTTCCGAAAAAGTTATTACACAAGTAAAAGAAGATCATAAGGATAATCAAGATCAATCGGAACAATTGGTACCAAAGATGACAGTAAGATATGTTCATTTATTAAAATTTATTTTATTTGATATTTTGTTATTCAAAATTTAAAAAAAGATGAATTGAAGAACAAAACGAGTTGCTGATAAAATCGATAAGCCCAAAAATATTTGTACATATATACATTATTCTCATTCAGTAGGGTCACCCAAGATATGCAACAGTGTTAGTGAATACAGATTACAGTGTAAGAAATAAAAAATATACAAGGCACTCGTAATAAAGGGCTTCATTCGGGAAATTCGGCTCAATACCCCTATTCAGCCAAAATAATTTTACAACAGGGTCCAACGGGAAAATATAATTACATTAAAAAAGAATCAAATTGAAAAATCGATATATTATATCACTAAATTTAAAAATAATTACTAAGCTGTTAGGACACGTTTATTTATGATAAATCAAGATAACGCAATAATAAAATCTCTCATATAGTATTTTCATTAAATAACAATGTAAGGGATAACAATAAAATAAATAAGTTTAACATTGCAAAGTTAAACAGAAAAAAAAAATTTAAGGAGTATAATTAATTTTGCAGGGGTCTCTATCCGATGATGAAAGAAGTGCCCATTACTCTTCTTCTGGATATTATGAAAGTCCTGTAGATGATGAAGATGACGGTGGACTAAGTAAGATTTTATTATAAAAGTAGATAATTATAGGTTTTAAATATTTATTAACTAAAACATGGCATACTTTTGTTTAAGCATACAAACATTCTCAGAAATACAGATCTAATACTAGACAAAAGTCATGGTTAGCCGATGACAAAAAAAGAAAAAAGAGGGCTTTTACGCTTGAATTTTCAAAATCATACGACGATTCAATATCTACATCCCAAGATGATTGGGGCCGTAATGAAATTGACTTTAGTATACGCTCGGAAAGAAATGTATTTAAAAATTACAGTGAAAAGTCTCCTACAGAAGATAAAATCTCCGATACAAGGAAGAAGAAAACACATTTTGTAGAAAAAACAAAAACTATTCAAGCATCACCCAAGGAAAATGTTGATAGTGAAAAAAAATTTAAGGAAAAAACGTTAAAGGATAAAGAAATAGAAAGTAAACGGCCGATTGAGAGAGAAAGGTATGTGAAAAGAACAAAATTAAAGGCTAAAAGTCCAACTCAAAACAAAAATTTCGAGGGAATTCACGGACACAGACCTCAGCATTATGATAGAAGAGAAGGATTTGGATCTAATATGAAGTTACAGCTTAATATTCCCACTTCCGATGATTCTAGTGAGCAATACAGAAAAGAAGGTATTGGCAACGGAAATATATCGCCTCGCAAACACAGACGTTTGCGAGACAGTCCGCGAAGAAAAACTGGAACTAATTCAGTTTTAGCAAAATCACCTACTTCAGCAAATAATCATAGTTACAGGTGAAATTTTCATGTATTTTATTTAAATCCCATTTAAATTTTTTTTTACTTTATGAAATTTAATCCGTTCATTTTAGACCACGCAGAAAAAGTGGCTCAAATGAAAGTATATCACTTCCCGGTAGTTTACCTAGAAGAAAACAATCAATTCCCACGGTACCTTGCATGAGCTCACTTGAAGCCGAAGATGTAGAAACTACTCGCACTCTTACTAATGCTGGATCAAGATTAACACCTTTACGATACGTTAAAAGCCCGACAACATCGCCTCATCACCATCGCAAGCAAGATAAAGGTAAATTTTTGAATTTGCAATATTTTTGGTCGTTCTGTGTTCTGTGTTGTCCCCTAAGTGTATTTTACTGTTTATAACTCTAATCTAATTTTATATGTTAGAAAAACCAAATACCATAAGAGTAATGGTAGCTAATTCCTATTTTCATGTAACTTATAAATATTTGATAATTTAAAGTGGTCTTCATGCCAGCTTTCTTGTTTATGAGCAACATGTCTTATATTTACACAGAGGGGAAATTTGCAAAAGCGGCATCCGCAGAATCCCTTCGGTCCGTTTCACCAGGGTCGGATTCTGTTTTTTATTCAGAACAAACGGAGCATAGCCTTGGTGGTGCTGATGGCGAGGCCAAAGCGCATTGTTTACATTGCGGAAAAGAAGTCCATATAGTAACAGCAACGCATGAACATGACAGTCGAGCTTCGAGGACCTCTCATACAGACGTGAGAATATAATATATGAAGGTTAAAGTCATCAATATAAAATACCAATAACTACTTATATCTATTTCTAAACTAATTTTAGGAATCCTACGCTGATGCAACGCCTGATATAGTTCCTGCACCAGCTGGTTTCGCTGATTCACCTTCCTGCATTCCTCCTAAAAAGTCTGCAAGTGGCGCGCGACTCTACAAAAAACTTGACAAAAGATATCGTTCTGAGGATAAGTCGAGACACCATTACCGTCATAGACAAGATGTCCGAGCTAAGGTATGTGCACATCATAGGTTGATTCTTTATATTTTACATCTGTAAAGTGCCTTCGCATGTGAACATTTATATCTGTTTTTAATTTAAAAATAAAAATTAAGCTAATATACTTTTTACTATCATATCATATATTTTTATTGATCACAAAAAATATTTACTTAATCTACGCAGTCTGAAGAAAGGGGTAAAGAAGAATATGCTTGCTCTGAAAAACCACAAGATACTCGGATCGCTCGTTCAGCTGGAAATAGTCTTGATAAGTTAGCAGGATCTACGGGGAGCGTAGATCCAGATGGTATGTTTTCAATATCTGACATTTCAGAAAACATCTTTTATACTAAAAGCACCTGGGCAACTGCTCGGCTTTTCCTGCAAAATCGCGGTTTTTAATTATTTTACTCCAATGACATGTTAGCCGTGATACTCGAGCAACCTGAGTTCGATCCCCGGTGCCGGTATCAATGAAATTGTTAATTTTGAGTGCTGACTTATCACGTGCTAGGCGGCGAAAACAAATTGAGAGAAAACCTGCTGATTTTCGAAATAATAACAAAAAAAATATTTCGAAGATATGTGAAACCCGGCAATCCACAGTGCGGTCGCGTGGTGAACTACGCCCTAACAACCTTTGTACAAATAAGACCAGCAGTGGGGCATGTATAGGCTGTTACTTTACTTTTTAATGATTACTCCAATGATGTTTTAATAAAGTTGACGCATGTCCAGAACACGAAGAATGTTCCGGCAGTTCTGAAGGTGCCGAGAATTGTCGCGAAGAAAAGGGAGTGTATGCAGCGCCGTGGTGGTGCGGTAATTGGATTTTATTATCTGAAAATGACGACCATTGGACCAGAATTCCACCTGGTAAGAAATTATATAGTAAATTCAGACGTTTATATATAGTCTAAAATCGCTAAAATTATTGAATTAAATGAAATTGATTAAAAGAATGGAGATTAAACACCTAGTTAGCAATAGAAAGCTTTCTTAAATCAAAATTAACCATTTAATTTATAATAAAGACACAGATAAACTTGTGGATAAAACTAATTTAAAAATAGATATTATGCATAACTGAATATCGTTAAAGTATATTACATTTTATATGGTTAATAATTGATATAGTTAAAAGTTAGTTTAACATTGGTGAAAAATTATTTATTTTAAGTGAAAAATATAATGCAAATTCGTTGAATCACCAATTCGCACCTTTTTTTTCTCTTTTGTTATTTTACAGACGTAATTGATACAACGGACTCAAGTCACGATGACCCTACAGAATCAGAAGTGGAATTTAACAAAAGATACGTCGCTTTAACACACAGACTTGTACATAGGCGAGCGTGTATTGAATTGAATAGGAGACAGGCTGATAACAGTTTCGGTTGGTATTTTTTTTTAATTTTTGTTATTTGAATTTCATGTATGAGGCATGATTCCCCTCTGCTAAAACTCTGGCAGCTTAAAATTACTATAAGTCAAGAAGAAAATCTTTTGGTTGCTGTATATCTTTGTAGTTATTGTCAAATTTTTGGGGTCTCATATCTCGTATCTCGTATGACAAAAGTTTAAAACTTAATGGAATGTTGAAATATCTGATTTAAAGGGAAAAGTCTTTTAAGTAATAACCACCTAATGTTCAAATCAAGGTATATACAAAAGGAGGACCATCTACCTTCGTATCTGGAAACCGTGACATATATTCTATATTATTGTGATTATGTAATGTGTACTAATTGCATTGTTGGCTTATGCATATAGAATCAGATAATTATTTTAGTTCCTAGCAGTGGAATGCTAACATCTATCAGAGGACAGGTTGGTAAACTCTAGGTTTTTCACACCACTGTCCAACTGGAAATTGAAGGAACAAGAAAAGTTCCATAACAAGTCTGGAAACCATTTTCTTTATGATTAAAAATAAGCTATTAATCTATCTAGCGTTGAACATGTCGTATAAATTGATTTTTTTTTGTTGTGAACAAAAAGTTGCGTCACAGTCATTAACGCAACGCTCGGAATGAAAGCGTTACTTCAGATCAGTGACGTTACCTACGGCTCTATTTTCGGCACTGTCGCTGCGTAAATAGCAACATGTATTATTTTAGCACTGTCCCCTAAATTCTTTCGTATATGTTTTACTGAATGTGTAAGCATTTCTCGGCAATGATGTGAGAGCCCAAAGGTTGACCTAGACAATGTTTCAAATATAATAGATATTAAACGTAACAAAATTAGGAAGAAAAATATCACCTTTGACCTTCACGTGCACATTTCCTATGGAAGTGGAAAAAAGTGAGTCATTTCATCTGATTTAGATACGAAAAAATGTATAGGTAAGTAAATTGACTCAAGCGTTACTGACCGAACTCAAGCGGACTAAATTTAATTCTATAGTATGCTCACGTACGTCAGCACTCAGTAGAGGCAGACACGCGACTGCGGCTAGACGATATTTTACATTGGACGCCGTAATTCCTCTCTTATTCTATTGATTTGACATCGGGAAATAATTTTATGACGCTCTACTTGTAATAGTGTACGCGCGTTAGGTGCAAAAGTTCACGGTCAAGATTCATCTTTACAATATCTCATCATGGGGCATACATGTAAGTAATAAATTTGTTTTTACAAAACATCTCCTATGGCCTTGGTATTGAATTGTTTAAAATGTCCAACAATTTGTCTGAGAAATTTATCGTTTTTCAGTTGTAAACGTGTTAAATAGTTCAAGCGGGAGTTTACGGGACAAGTTGGAAGAAATTTTTAAATTAATGCTGGTGCTGTGGTGTCGACAGTCGCAAATTAATAGGCTTGTTGCCTTGGAACCATGTGGTAAAATGTGATAATTATTTTTTATCATTATCAGAAATATTAATTCCATTGTATTCAATGGCAAAATTTGATATAACCATAAAGAAATCAATGCGCAGAAACGAATAAATAAGTTGCATGGATTTTAATTTATCTGTTAAAATATTGAAATCTGTTATTTCAACATATAGCCCGAGTATTTGCTATTTTATAGCATTTATAAATAGTTGTATTCTCATATATCCTATCGCTATTAAACAGTTTTACTAACTATTAGTTACCAAATATAATTAGATAGTTCATGCCAAGCTGCTTTGTTTTCTTTTTAGGAATGTATATAGAAACTAATGAACATAATATGCTTCCATATATTTATATCTATATACCAAAAAAGAGTGTCACTTCCCTTGGCTTTTATTATAACTTTTCTTTCTTTAAGCTGTTAGGAAAGCTCCCTTTAACGAAGTACAGTACGATATAACATTTTATAACTTAATTTATTTTGTTAATTTATTTAATTAAAAATAAAATATATAAATATAGTTAATATTTAAAAATCAACTATTTCCTTAATTAAATATTAAAAAATAGGTTTATATCTTACATTTACAAATCTGTTCATCTGCCATTCGTATATTATATCTTTATCCCTTCCTTAGTATATGTAAAAACAAGTGCATAGCGTTAATTTACTAACAACAATAATTAAATAACATTTCTGATGTTTACTTAATTCTTTATATTTGATATTTATGTGCATTATCGTCTCGTACAACCGTCAGAAATTTGGTGATTTTTGAAGCTAAATGACGTTAGCTAGAATTCTACTATTTCGTGCCATGAATGAAAACATTGTTACCGTTGACGGCTTTGGCATACGACCAAAAAATTTGGCGAAAGTCATTATGACAGGCGGGCATTCTGTTATATCCGTTCTGGGATATCGAGCGACCGTATTTGTGTCATGGCCAGCCGTGTGCTCGAAGCCCGTAACTGCCTGCAAGCAAAATCATGATCGTTTAGAGATGGATGAAACGTTATTAGGTCAATGCGGACGTAAGTAGTCGATCCGAAAATACCGCTCTGTAAAACAAACGCATTGCTATCTAGTAATGATGAAAGTATTGAATGCGTCTTAAATTAAATAAAATAGATATATAAATATATACCAGATATTATACACAACGCTATCGAGTCCCAAACAAAGCTTTTGGTTAACTCATCATAATTGAACATAGTTTTCTTTAATGTTAAATAAATGCATATAATAAACACCCGAACATTGTGATCATCACCACAAAAGGCAAAAGAGACGGGTTCAGTATACAGTGCCCTTAATATAGTAAAATACTAATAGAAACTAAAAGCTTTCGTCAAATCGTGATCACAATTATTGCTTTATGTAAAAAACAGACAGAATCAAAAATTTAGCATGGAATTACTTATGCCAAGCCGATAAACAATTTAATGCAAGTACAACATCAAGTAATTAGCTCGAAACAAATGTTGATATGAAACTTGTACGAAAGTTGTGTTTGTTATTGACAGCACGTTTGAGAAAACTAATTGAAGTCGGTGTTGCTAGAACCAATTACCGAGATGCCAAAAACATCCGAATAATTTATATGAATAATACAATAGGTTTCAGTCATTATTGTCTTTATGTAATTTAAATACCATCAAAAAGCTAACTTTACAATAAATTTTGTTCGCTAAAGTTTTAAGATTTCTTCTTATATCTCTGTATTACAATTTTCAAGCAGTATAATATTAATGATACAATATAAATTTCCTTTATATTTTAAATAAAATTATTATTAAGAATTGAGAAGTTGAAATTTTCTTGACCTTACAACTTTTACCTCTTAAGAAGAAGCTATCAAATATATTCGTTGCTGTAAGTTTCATACAAATGGGTAATTTTTCCTTTATATTCTCGTTCAAATCGTACATATAACGTATGAAGTGTAGAGTTTTTGTATGATAACGTAGATGTTTGTTTTGGATGTTTTATGAAACAGAAAGCGACAAGACTGTGGTTGTGCGACGCGGAAATGAGGAATTTGGATTCAGGATTCACGGCAGCAAGCCCGTCGTGGTGTCAGCGATCGAACCTGATACACCGGCCGAAACCTCCGGACTAGAAGTAGGCGACATTGTCATCGCAGTAAACGGTAAATTATGAATGTATCTTTTGTTGAGGCGGACGGTACTTGTTAGTTAAAGGAAACGATTGAAAGGATTTATAACAATTGATTTCTTTTAAATTAATGTATAACCATTAATTCGTATTAAATGTTGAAAACATAACAATTGATGTTACGATTTTACCGACGGGTTGAGAGCTGTTAGAGGCAAATAACCCATAAAATATTTTGATCTGTCGCGGGATGTGAAAAGATGGAGCTCTTGTACTTTTTAGAATATACAGGAAAGTTGCAAAAAATGTTTTGGGGACTTAAGCTTGTTGAAAAGTAAATAGGTCTACCTGTGTCCCTTACGGTTCAAGTTATTAACTGGAACATTGTTTTTACAGGGATAAATGTTTTGGACAAGACACATTCTGAAGTAGTTAAAATAGCACACTCTGGCTCAGAAATATTAGAATTACAGGTAAGTATTAATTGATTAGAACCGATTTAAAATTAATTTTCAACTTGAAATGTTCGCTCTTATCATGTCGTGCTATTAGATTTTCAAAAAGTTAACTATTTTCAAAAAGATCCAATCAGTCACAATACTTAGTACAGCATTATATCGCACATAAAAGTTATTTTAATCTTATATCATTTTTATTTTTTTCAGAAGATGGCAAGCGAGCTGACGGTTCACATAATGTTATATTAAGAGATAACCGCCGCCTACAATAATGAGGGCCCCGGCTACCTCACTCGCCAGACGAAACGCATAAGTATTATACTACTTCCACTTCACGCCGGTCTTCTGTTAGGTTGTAGTATTTCCCCGGACAGACCTGCCTACTTGTGCTACTGTGTTAAGCGAAAGCTGTTACTTGCTTCTACCACATTAAAAAAATTGTCTCATACTTCTACCCATAATGGAGGCTTCTTGTGCAGTTTCACAAAGACAGGAAATAATCTTGCCCATTATCTTTACGGCCGGTAGAATAATCAAATGACAGCTATTTTTGATCGTTCATTAAAGTGGTACAAAAGCAATATCATCATATAATATCCACTTGGTATTCCAAACCACGATCTATAAACTATCGCAAACTTTTCTTTCATTTCAAAGATATGATATACAAAAGTAATCGACTTTTGTAGAGGCGATCGGCTAATTCTATTTTCGTAGAGCGTAGCTCTATCACTACATCGCTATCTATGTCACAAACTTACCTAAAAAAAGTGTAAAAGTTTTCGCGTGTCAATAATTATCACCGGATAAGTGGCAATGGTAAATGTAAGTGACTTCATGGACATCCACAGAAGCAAAATTCTCAATCTAACCCACCTATTCATGAATTGGAAAATGCTGTCATGTGTTCCTACCAAATTTGAAACTGAAACTTTTAAGTTTTCAATGAAAACTACGTTAACAAACACCGCATATTGCAGGTCGCTAGAACGTGTGACGTTGTGGCCTCATTAGCCCACGAAGGCGGTCCAGCGGCTTTGTACTCCGGTTACCTTTGGAGAGCAGCGCCATTGAGGCCTCACCATCCCCCCCGCTGGACCCGTAGATGGTTCGTCTTGAAGCGAGACAACTGTCTCTACTATTACAAAACGGATTCGGTGAGTTTTTGAGGCTGCTAAACATTTTTAGATTACAGAGTATTTGACATCCATCAGTCCCTAGAGATTAGATGTAACTCAATGGCTAGGTCAGGCTTTCAGTATCTTTAACCAAACAGATTACAAACATAAGGTAAAAAATTTCGTAAGATCTATAAAATTTATTTTATATACAGATATAGATCTCACAAAGATTAAAATTAATTATCTTTGGACTCCGTTACCTGGAAAACATTGGGATCGTAGGGCACAATGCCTAAATAACCTCCCAGAGATCTTTATACAGCTTTGAACAGTAAAGCATTCTCAACTTTACATTAATCATTTTTATTTTCAGAGCGTCCATCCAGTTGGAGCGTTGATGCTTGTAAACTATCAGCTGACGGAAGAGGACGCCGGGCGACCACACGGATTTCGACTTCAACGCGGTGGCGGAACAAGGCTACAACTCGCTGCTGACACCGCGGAAGCGTCCGCTAGATGGCGCGCTGTGCTCGCCCACGCCATCGACGCCAGCAACCAAGTTCGTAGAGATCATGCAATCATAAAAATTGTGATAGCCACCGCTAGATGACTCTGTACCGATACGATTAATATTTCTCAAAGTGCCTCGTTTCGATTTTTTTCGACAAAATCAAAAGGCCGGCGGGCGCCGTGTCCAATGAAATTTTACAAAAAGAAAAAACATATACACGTAAAGTCATTGTCGGTTTAACAGGGGGAGCATTATTAAAATTGAAAATTTAGCACCATTCACAACTTAACTTTACCAATAAAACTTCATTTTCGAATTACAGAGGCTGTCATGAATAACGTAAACTTTTCAATGGCAATTTAAATGCCTATTATTGACTACCATTTTTAATCTACGACGATAGCCATCTAAGCGTTAAAAATATCCAATTTTCTTCTTACGACTAATGCCTTCGGAATTTACGTCTTACATACTCTTGTAAGGATTATAAAATATAAGCCAAATGGATTGTAAAATCAGAGCATCCGAGTATTTCTGGGTGTCATACCGCGATCTTTATAATCGGATTAGTGAATTGCTTGCACTAAAGGCAAACTAATCGTTGCATATTATAATGTATAAATTAAGCATCAATAACTTGTAGAAATTTGTGTAGAAATAAAAAATATTTTGTTATTATTAACTTTATTTATTTCTTCTTTTAGTTTCCCGATATGCCATATTCCAAAATCACTGTCACGCTTTTGTGCCTGCTTCACAATACGCTAAGTCGTGATACTTTGCAAATTAAATTAAGCATCAAAAGCCCTGAGAGTTTGCTAATCGGTGTTTTTATACTCACATGTTTCTTTCTCTCTTTGTATTGTTCACATTATCTTAAGTGATTAATGATACATTATTTATGTACGCAGCGGGATGGGTGGCTAGAGGTGACAATGAGGAACATGAAGCTGCCGCCTTCATCGATTCTGCGACCGGACTGTTTCGGGTACCTCATGAAGCTCGGCTCTAAGTGGAAGTCCTGGGCGAAACGGTACTGCGTGTTGAAGGACGCGTGCCTATACTTCTACAACGATGGGAACAGCAAAAGTGCTTTTGGTTCGTATCTAGATTTATCTATATTCATGATGCCCAAAGTGGAGAAGACGTTTAAGTGGCGAAAGGCGTGAATTTTTGCTACCCTGATGTAGATAGTGTTGCATCGAAACGGGCCTAACCTAGTTTGTGAACAATACTGTGTAGGTCATACAAAGTAGGTTCAGGGTACGAATCAAACCTACGGCCTACGACACCGAAGACTATCCCTTGGCAACAGCACCAAACAAGACATGTTTTTTTATTCGAATCACTTATCGCGTCATGGTATTTATTTATTTGGTATTTTTTTATATATTATAAATATATTTTAAGCACTTCAGCCGTCCTACTTCTTAATAACCCCTTTTACACTTTTATTATTAAAAATTGAATTCCAATAATACCTGTATTATAAACATGTGTCATTAAAGCTTTGTTTTTCCATGTTCTGAAGTACAACCTACACAATATAATTACTCTTTTTGGGTATTTATGACATTGATTTGGAACACAGAGTTACTACATCTACTTTGTATGCTAAACTCAATATATTAACGAATTTAATGGTTTGTAATAAAACACTTTAATAGATTTTTATTTGTATTTCTTTAAATGAATTGGCATGGGAATGGCTTTTGTCAAGTAAATGTATTGAATCGTAAAGTCAGGATCGTGTCTACTTCATGAGAATACGGATTAATGCTTTATGGTTACTTAAAATAAATCCATCAGCGGATTAAGTGAAGGTGGTAAATATCCGACCTTTGTTACTGGCCATCCCTCAAACTCTCTCCAAGCTGTGTCTATTTCAAATGTTTCAACTATCTCAATTTGGCAATGTTTCAAATGTCTTAAACCTATGCAGCTTTAAGAGTGCGTATATTTGACAACCTGGGACGTTTCTGCAACGACTAAATCATGGTTCTTAGACAATTTATCGGCGTTTATTTAGAAGTTTATCCAGAAGTTGGTCAAGGCTTCCTAGACTTATCTTTATGAGCCATATAAGGAGGGCAAAAACTTTAAAGATAAAATAAATTACAAGGGAATATACTGATTTCAAATCGACTTAGGTTTGATATTAAATTATTTTTCACTTTTAAAAAACTTGTATATGCTCTTGAAATTGATTCGAATTTAAAGAGTAGAAATTGAGAATGCCAGGAGTAAAGAAGAATTTAATAATATTATGTGATATTTTATTTAATCCTTTTGGCTTGCTTTTCAACATAACTACCTTACGAATTTTATCAAGTTTGTTTAAAATATTTAACACTGGCTTCGCTTGGCTGGATTGGCTGTTATTAATAAAAATTATTCTTATTCTTAATATTATTATAATATAGGATGACAAAAACTTTATACATAACGCTATGAAAATCGTAAAACCGTTGTTGGAAAAATTGCGTTTTATTTTATTCACATTAGTTTTCTATAAATTATTTTTTTACACTAAATTTAAAAAGTAACAATATTACTGACCATGTATGGACTATGGCTTGACTTACCTTGACTGTACATGATGGATTTCCTTACAACACTGTGACAAAATGTTTCAACCATTTTATTTCTTGAATGTACTCTGCATAGTTTTCCAAACTTATGTAACTTGGGAACGCCATTATATGATCTGCTTAAAATAGCAACATCTGTCTGCGCTACAGACAGCTCAAATTATAAATAAATTAAAATTTATTAATATGTATAAATTAACGTATAAACCATAGAGTGTTATTATACTTGTAACACTCGCGTTGGAAGTCGACCGTTAGATTTTAAATATATTTGCTTATGAGTGGTTAACGAACGTGGATAACGATGGTCTTTCTTGTTCTATCCTGAACAACATCTATTAGTCCCTTAATTATTACAAGGAACACTGTAATCTTTCTTCGTTTAAAATTCAAATAAATTCAATAAACATATATCTTTTTCAGTCTATTTTTGTAGTATTTGTAGTTTTGTATTAAAAATAAATTATTACACTTGTATTTATTGTTGTATAAATGTCTTTATTAGTATTATAATTTATTTTCATAAATACGGGGAATGCAACGAAAGAGGCAAGCGATTACTATAGTTAATTACTCGACTGCTGAGGTACAGCTTTATTTTTATAGTGTATGTATGTATTCCTTATTCTTTTCCACGCTCTACATAGACCTCTGACAGATTTCTCAACATAAGAGTTGTTACTATGAATATCAAAGTTGTGGGATCAAAAGGCCTGTGGGAGTAACATTGAGTAACATTATTTCAAAAAATTGTCTGCAAAAAACAGATTTTGTTTCATGTGATAGTTTATGCTTGATGGGCGGTTAATTCGACGACAATTATAGTGGAAAAGAATCTTTTCGTTCTCAATATCAACATTGTTAGTTACCTCTAAATATTTTTATTCTTTTTTCTAATTATTCACAGGTATGGCCTGCCTACACGGTTACCGGATACAAACATGTGCACCGGGCGGTAAGAAATACGCCTTCGAAGTGATGCCAACTGAGCCGAAGCAAAGGCACTTTTACTTCCACACCGAATCCGAAATGGATAGGAAGCGGTTAGTCAGATTTGATTTGTGTAACAAGTTTAACATCGAAAATATTTGGCATTATTAAATTAAGTACTAAAACGTGCTAGTACTCAGAAGTGACGACTGTACTAAAAGCTAAAGTAGAAAAATCCCTGTTGTTAAAACACCTTTATTATTATTCCCTTCCAAATCTGAAAAGAAGGCTATTGAGGTTTAAAGGTGTGAATTAACTTCATAACTGAATCTTATTTGTAATGTATATCGAATATATTTCACAAAATGGACTACCTATGCTTAATCGAAAAATCAATGTATGTACAATCGAAGCATATTATACCGGATTATTACTGAAGTATAATAACAAAAAAAATGCAACGTAATAAAATAAATAATAACATTTGGGGATAAATTTAAAAAGAGTGTTTAAGCCGTATGTAAGCTGGGCAGTATCAGGGCTTCAATTTTTTTTTTATAATTTCGTTTCCTCACGATGTTTTTCTTGCTGATAATTTTAAATGCTGAATTATTACGCGCTCAACTGTTAACGAAAACATCGTGAGGAAACCTTCATATTTTCGAAATAGTAATAAAAAAGATATTTCGAAGTTATGTGAAGTCCGCCAATCCGCAGTCGCGTTGGCCTTTACCCAGCAGTACAGCAGACATTTATAGGCTGTTATTACTTATATTTTTTGAAGTATTTAACGTGCTTTATCATTTTCATAGGTGGATGGCAGCTTTAGAGTATTCTATAGATCGATGGATGAAGGCTGGTTGACGACGTAACACGCATTGGGAAGACTCCTTCGACATAATATAATTCATGTTATAAAATCGTAGTGACTCATTTCAATTGTACTCCTTTCAACCTTGCACGATCGACCAAAATGCATTATTTTTAGACCCTTAGTGAAATAAACTGAGGAACAAACCAAGAAAACAAAAATATAAAGAGTACTTTAATAAAACCAGTTAACGGATCTTATCGCTGTTAATCTCAATTCAAACCGCTGATTTAAAGGAAAAACCTAATGAAAACTTCGAATCCTTTACAGCATTCATTCATAAGAGATTGAATTAAATAAAAATAAGAGATTAAATTAAATAAAAATAAGAGATTAAATTAAATATCTTTCTGTGCACCTACCGAATCCTCTCTGTACCACTCCAAGGTTGACTGGAATGCCTTAGGCATTAAGTCCGCCTATGTGCAGTATGTGCATAAAGTATAAATAAAACGTGATAGAATCCGTTAATAAATTTTATTAAAATGTGTAATATTCCCATAATTATAAGAAAGTATTAAGAGTATTAATATATTCACTAAATCACGATTTTTCTTGTTCACATTATTTTTAATAAATCGTAGATTACTATCGAAGACGATATTTAGAACCTATTTATTATTTGAATGCTGTAGTTTTTAAAACAAGTGTCCATTACTTTAATCACTTTTACGTTCCATTATATTATAGGTATTCAAACCTAATAACATACCTTTCTAAAATTATGGAAATCTGTTAAAAAAAACCAAAATGTAACCCATTAAAGATGTGGATTAAATTATGTAGAGATAAATGAATATATATATGTTCAAACTCAAAATTTAAAAAGGGACTTTAATTTTTATTCCAGTCTAAGCGCTAAAATAACGAGTATAAGTGATTTATTTCTGTCAAATATAATGGTAAGATTAGATAAATCGTAACGGTGCATCGAAAATGAACATTGTTTAGTAAAAGCAAAGCTTTAAACAGTGTATTTCTAAATAAATATATTAAAATGTTATGGAATGAAGATATAAGATATTGTCTTTTTATACACGTGAACCAATGAGACTAAATCGAACGTTTTAAATATTGAAGGATAAAGAACGAACACGATAAATTAGTGTTGTACTCTAATATCGTTTAGAAGTTATCAATGTCGGTGTTAGTAAAAATCATAAAATCTCCATTAAGTCATTTGAAAAGTTTTATCTGAACGTAATACCATCGTTAGTGATAGTATAGTGTAGTGTTTGCAATTTAAAATTTTATCGCATCATCGTAGATATTATATAAGATATTGTACGTATTTGTGTGGGTAAAGTTTCTTTTCCCATTCAGTACAAAATGATGATCAAAATTGCCCTGCAATGTTGACGTGTAGAATGTAGAGTAGAGTATATAAAAACAGTGTGTGTGAGTTAACATGTTTTTGGGCTTCTTCGTTATAATAAAGTACATATTTTTTAAAAAGTAACACTATTTTATGCACATCATATCGATGTGCCCTAGTCAAGGTACACGTGTTAATTTAATGATATAAATTTATTGGGACATTTAAATTTACCTAAAAGATTGTTATCGTTATGATAGAAATACCATTTTCGAAAAACTCCTACCATTTCGTAAATACAGTATGAATCGTATGTTACTCTAAGAATATTTGTATTAATTCGTGGTATGTACTCTTCCTTTATATAACGTAATATCCATTGCGGGTTACATTATTTATAACATTTACGTTTTTGAGACGTGTTTAAAATATTAAATATGTTATTAATTATTGAAGAAATTAAATGAAGTAAGATGCTAAACTTAGGTATTATTAAATTAGATATTACCTTTAGAACGTGGTCCATATTAGAGTGACTTAAATATTGTGCATTAAAAGAAGAAATAATAGTGTCGAGATATTTTCGTGTATATAAGTAATCACGTAAAAGCTCAAATATATTTAAAAGATGAATAAAGACTTGGAAATTAACAGACTCGGTTTATGCTTTTAGAGTAGCCTTGTATATTAGTCAGGTGTTTAATATCGATGTAGTTAATTTAAAAAATTTAACGTTTTCCGTTATAAATTATCGCAATTTAATTACAGCTGGTTATACTGAATACTATCTTTTGTGCAACATAATTATGTGTGTTATCTTGAAGAATAAAAATTTATTGTAATGTGTTCAGTAAATAAGTATTTTGAATCTCTCAATCTTTAATATAGTATATGTTCAGAAATTAAATGTGTCAAATATCATCCGATTGCCAAACTTAAGCCAAATAGAAGATATCATTTTGAAATAAATAAAAAGGAATCTTGATATGATATTTCAGTATCCGATAAAGGATGTTCTAAGTTTTTTAAATGGTGATGGAAACATTATTAAAAACTGTATACATCTTATTTTTATTCCATATACCAGTTGTCAGAATTACATGCGTAGAAAAATATTGCATATATGTATGTGATGTGAACTCTTGTCCTAAACGGGATACTTTTTTTATTAATTCATGTGACTGTATTAATAGACTTCGTTGTATTAAACAATAAAAGTAAAGCTTCGTTTTATTCACATTCCCTTTTTAATGCAGATTCAAAAACTAAAAATTAATTACGTTATGTTTAAACACGGTAGTAGTATTACAGTAGAAGTTATAACGAAACTTTATAACTTCTCTTTAATACTACTACTTCTAAAAATACACAGAGAGGACGGCAAATTTGCTAGCCTCCTCAGGACTGTGTTGGGTTAACGGGTATTATATAAATTTCTAAATACAACAGCAACTTTGTCAATTAGCGACCGCCGAGAAAACTCGTGAGGGCTCGTATATTCGAAGGCGGCGTCAATTTACAAGACTTATAAGCTACTAACACGAAAAATAAACAATCGAAAGATATCCTTTCCCCTTTTTTATTGCTTCCAAAGTAAAAACGGTATAAAGCCTTCGGCGGGTCGGCGGCGGCTGCCTGCGGGGGGACGGGCAGCTGGAGAGGGGGGGAGCACGGGAGCGCTACTGCCTCCGTGAAGGAGCAACGCAGTAGTACGCGCGCTACCCTCCCACCAAGCGCCCGCCATATGCGCGTGCGCAGACCAAGCCATACGTATCGACGCAGTGATAAAAAACATTTGGTACACAACACTATCAGTGGATTTCAGTGCGTGCACTTGAAAACAACGGAAGGGACACCCGTGAACGTGTGATGTGATCGCCACTCGTGTCTAGCAAACTGACTGTTCAATAACATTTTCCCGTGACCACAGTGCCTTAACTGTTTATGGCCTGTACAGTGCGTCTATTGTTGTGTGCGCTCCCCCTAATCGCCTATTCACCTGTTTGTGCCACCAGCTGCGGTCGGACCGTGAAATGTGACAAAAAATCGCAAAGAGCCATCATTGTACGGTTCGGACGCTTGGTTGGTAAACTCTGTGGGTTAACTACCTGACTACTGGAGTGCGGACGCATCCGACGACTGATCGGGCAGCCCGTCGCCTTGTGAGTCCCAATTTTTTTAAAACAGAATACGTAATGTAATACAGCGGATGTGGAATAAATTGGTTGGACAGGGGTGCGCTTGACGCGGCTACCTGTTTTGTTTAAGTCATGTGTTTGATGGATACGTGTGATTACATCGAAGGCTGCATCTATTGTTTTTGTGCTTCCTATTTTTTTTACGGCTCAATACCACCGGCGTAGAGAATAATGGGCCCGAGTAACGGGCCGCGGTTTGCTCCATTGTTACGTTTTACAACTGTATTTAAACGTTTCTGCCACTGTGTTTCGCGCAGATTATAATTATCGTTTCCATTGTGTCAGTGTGGAAAATTATTGCTACGGCAATAGGTTCGCAGGAATATAGCCCTTAGTTATATGTTCCAAAGCCTCATAATAACAAATCTGAACGGCAATGCAGATACGCGTTGTGACCACGTTGCCAACTCCGTTGCGGGAATCGTCGGTGACCGCTACTTATGAGATGAGATGAAATTACACACTTTGGTTCAGTTTGTCTAGACCCACTTTGGGTTTTAAGCGGCGAATTTAATTCCATCGCAAATTTGTTATGGTCTAATAGTGTAGGCGTCGGAATTTCAACATCAAAGTTGTAGAGACGAATCCCAGTCGCTTGTAACAATTTTCCTTATTGCAAAAGAAAAATCGCCTAATGTTGGCGATAAGGTAGATTTAGTCGCTTTATGGACAAATTAATGTGAGAGCCATTTCTCTACTTTTATAATTACAAAAATGATTGATCAACATAATTATTTTTTGTAATGTTTCCTCAAAACCTTTCAAGTTCTAAGGCTTTATACATATCTCTCATGTATTTTAACATACATATAATGACATTACTATATGTATTTGAGTGCAATAACAATACTGTTCAGCAAAATAAAAAATTATACACTTTTATTTCACATAACATCACGCACATAACGCCTAAACTTCAGCTATTTGTTTGTTAATATTTGAAATTTTCACCTATCACTTATATACTCATTAGGGTCTGCCACACCTGTGCTGCCATAGTGGTAGGAATAATGTACATGCACATTTATTTACCTAATATTGATTGAAGTTCTTAAAATTTTTACAATAGACAAGCCAAGCAGCACAGTAAAGCACTAAAGCCTCAGCAGCGTAAAGTACCTTCTTATCTTTTAATATTCTCGCCGCTTATATTATGTAACTCCAACAAGGTGTATTATGGATTTCTAGGTGTGTCCTTCACATACAATCAGGCTAAAAGCATTTTTTTAATAAAAAAAATTATTAACTATGTTACCATTTTTTTCTTAAGGTTAGCAATAAAGCATAGATAGCAATAAGCAAATAAATATATAAAATAAATAAATATATAAAACAAAACTAAGTAAATAAATAAGCAAGCATAAATAAATAAAAAAATAAAAAGACCATATAAATTTGTTAAAAATTTCAAAGCCCTTCATCGGCGGAAGAGTGTGAATAGGTAGTAAGTACATGGAATAAGTTCACTAATGTCGTAAATAGGATCCGTGCTCAATTGCCTTTGCGGTAACTCTATCGCAACGTATTTACGATACGTTATCCACGCGTGGCATTGTGGCGGAGACATCAAAAGGAAAATAATGAGCTATTATCGAAATACCTGGTCCCTGGAATGCTCATTGTGTACATGTTATCTTTGATTCGTAACATATTACGTCTTAAAATTGTGGGTCTTGGTGTCAGTGTCTTGGGAGGTTAACAGATACATGAGATGTAGTCTCATAGCCGATTTCGCCAAAAAATGTAATGATGTTCAAATCTGATTAGATCTTAAAATCTAGGATGTGTTAGTAAAATTATCAATATATATACTATCTGATGTGGCAAACGTTGTTTTGCCAAATTTTTACGAAAAATATTTTTTTTTAGTGTGAGCCACCCTGACAATAGCAGTTGCCATGGTACGAGTATTCGTAAGGAACCGGGGAACGTAGGATCGATTCCCACACAGGACAACTATTTGTGTGATCCAAAGACAACAGTTTCGGTTCTGGGTGTTTTTCCACATCTTAAAAGGGCAGTGTTTTAAAAAAAAAGAAAACAATAATATTTGAACCTGCTACTGCCAAATCGGAACATCAACTCAGCCACTTAACCTTCAAACTCTCCCACTTGCCCCATCGCAACCCATTTGCAATAAACAATTATTCCAATAATACGAGTCCATTACAGAAGAAGCTATACATTCAACCTGTGGTAGTTAATCTCTACCATCAGCCGATAAGGCGATATCTAATCTAACATCAAATATCACTTATCGAGACAATAGCAACCTTGCAAGACGCCGAAAACGAATTCTTAGTAAAACTCCATACGAACGAACTTGTGTAATTGTAATTTAATTTGCGGTTTGTACAAGTGATACTGTTAAGATTTCATTGTTTGTATTCGATGGTAGGATCAATTACCTATTAATCAAAGTTAAACTGAATAATTAATAAGACCTCATTATTTAAAATAACTCTCTATACCGTAATATATGCAAACCTTTTTTTAGAAATTGTTTTTAATACCCGTTTATAACAAATAACAATGTAGAATAGATAGACGTTTAAAACCTGATTTATTCTATGTGTAAAAGGTATTATGTTGCATTACGAATACCTAGTAATTTTCTGAGTGTTGTAAGACCACTAGGTGTTTCTATGACACAATAGAAAAACAACCGATTCCTTGAATTAAACGAATTGTTATTCCGCATTAAATTACAAATTTCGTTATTATTATTTTGGGAAAGTATATATCAGATTTGGGAAATAAAATGTCCCTATTCATACTGATGCATATTTTCGAAATGATAAAAAATTGTTCTATCGTAATTGTCAAGTTTGCCAATTCGCAGTGGGATCGCGTGGTAGAGAGTGAGAGACTATGTCCTAATACTCCCTGTGTACAGGGAGCTTTTGCCCAGCAGTGACATATACATATAGAGGCTGTTACTTTTTTTTTCTTGTACTTTTTACTGTTGTATCTTGCTTTTTTCAACAAACAAATAAGTCAAATTGCGAACGAAACTCGGAGATGACGATCTACTGGCGGAAAAACTAACCTTTCTTAAATAGAATTTAAAACCCTAAAATGTTAATGAATAGGTAACATACGCCAGGCTTCAACTGTTTATACATTTTCGTTTATACAATGTATACATCTAAAAACCTATTTAAGTTTCACAATATTGTTCATCAGGGTAGCGACAGAAATATCGTGTCGATAAAAAAGTTCTTGTAAATATTATCCGTATGAAATATTCAGTGCGACTTAGTCGGGTTATGATACCTCTCTTGTTTGCACAAAGACGGATCTCGATCCATAAATTTAAATGAAATTATTTTTAATTGTGTATTAAACTAAGCAAGCAGACGGTATGCATAACATTTTATCATTATTCGCATCCGGCGTATTCGTTTAGTTTCTTCCATCCCGTTGCAAAAAAATAAATAAAAATGTGTTCAAAGCAATAACATAAAATTAATTTAATAAAAGTAGGTAACTGGAAGAGTTTTTCATATTTTATACTCATAACAGTACGGCGCATACGAGTAGTTAGGTACCGGTAACTGGGAAAAATATTACTCTTTATTTTCGGGCCAAAAATAACAGAGGTTTATCTCTTGAACACATCTAAGCGACACACCCGCAGTAGATTCCAGTGCGACGTCTTTCAAAATGTTCGAAGATTTCGGGATTCCAACACAAAATGTATATTTACATAGGTATTCGAAAGATATATTTCTAAAACGCTCACGTTATGAAAACGTTCCTTATTATATTCCGGCTACCATTACTTATGGTAAAGTCTATATAAATATTCATAACTCTAAGTTTCGAACCAAAAAAAGAGAGTTAAAGTAGTTTTACAGCTTCGGAGCAAGTAAGATGGTAGAAACTCGATCAGGCGTGACATTAGTACGAGCGAGATCGAGGAAGAGAGCGCTCTTACGAGTGAGCGGGACAGGCGATCAGAAGGCTTTTACGGTAGAGCTGGCAGCATGTAGTGAAATGTGGGGCCGACGCTTGCCTTCTTTTTCGACCGCGCTTCGATAAATTGATTCTTAGATTAATCTTTTTTATCGACTTTATAACCGGCCAAGGTTTTCGCTTCTCACAAAATAGGTAATAGTGTGGGGCTAGATTGTTCTATCAAACGGAAAACAATGAAATCAATAAAATTTTGGTATTCTGTTTTTATTAGATTAATTTCAGAATTACTGAGGGAGCTACTCAATTGATGGTTGCCATTTAAGAATATTAAAAACTTGCAGTATGTTTTTATCCGTTCAAAATATTCTTATGATTCAATTACCAAACAAGAATACACTGGTGTTTCGCGCTTTATCTTCACGAATTTGGGCAATAATAAATGTTCAGAACTTTTTTTATCTTTATTATTTTTTACGAAGTATCGTAATCGAACAGCCAAAGAGTTTGGTAGTTTTTTGGACCTCATTTTTTTTGCCATATAGTTAACTACTGACTAAAATAATTACAGCGGCTTCCAATCTGCTGAAATGTATCTCTACAATGCGTTTGTTTAATCCGTCGAAATTCCATGTCACCCGAACAGCTGTGGAGATATAAAAAATGATAGCGCCCAGTAACAGACACCGGAAGTCTTATGAAAACATTCTGCCTACAGTCGAAGTAGTAAAGTCGTCAGTCACTTTTATTGTCTTTGGTTCTGATACCCTTTCAGATGGAAACAGTCAAACCTGTCGTAAACCTAGAAACGATCTTCAGTGGTATTATTGCTGCTAAACGGACACTAACAAAACATTGTAAGTTATTAAATATGTACATAGTTATGTGTATGTACATATTGTACGTCCTTGCATAAAATAACACTCTATCTGTTCATTGCATATAAATAAGAACCTCTGAAATAAATACCATTTTAGAAAATTATTAATTAAAATCACCGACAGGGCAATATATTACACGTCAGTAATTAATAATAATCAGTAAAGGAAATGGAACTAAAAAGAATACAACTCGAATTCTAAGCGATCGATAGCAACATATCAAGTATGGACATTAATATCGGTTTCGAATCCCAATCCGGTCGCTATTAACATTTTCCGATATCACCAGAAGCTAAGAACCGACAATATTGAGTATAAACTGTTGAATGATGCATGAGGCGAAGATTTAATAATAAAAATGGCAATACGAAGTAGTAGATGTTTCATTTCGCCTACGTGCAGTGATTTTTTGGATCTGTTGCTTTTGTACGTGGTCGTCAGAAAATAAATTCATCTCCTTAATTAAATTTACCTTTATTTAAAGTGAAAAAAGTAAAGTAACAGCCGATACATATCCCACTTCTGGGCAGAGGCCTGCTCTTTTTTACAGAGGGTATCAGGGCACAGTCAACCACGCGGCCCCATTGCGGATTGGCGAGCTTCACATATCTTCGAAATATTTTTTTATTATTTGTTATTACTTCGAAAACTAGCTGTTGCCCGCGACTACGTCCACGTGGAATATGGCTGAAGGCGTAACATTCGTAACAGAAAAACAGATATAATAAAAATATGTAGGTATATAAATTATAGACTATGTGTTTTTCTGATGTATAAGCTATATTATTGTAAAGTTTCATTAAAATCCATTCAGTAGTATTTGCGTGAAAGAGTAACAAACATCCTTCCATACATACAAACTTTCGCCTTTATAACATTAGTAAAGATATGCAGGTTTTCTCACGATGTTTTCCTTGATCATTGAGCACGTAATAAAGTGATCACTTAAAATTAACAAATTCATTGGTGCTGGCACAGGGGATCGAACTAAGTTGCTCGAGTATATTGAATTAAAGGCGAGCGCCCGGACACTGAGCTATCACGGCTCTTATTTAACGTGACAAACGTTTTATTCCACATTGTTCCAATTTTGGAAAAAGTTAACAAATAAAATAGTACTTTTTAAACATTCACGATTCGATACAACTCTATCCTGAATAGTTCTCCATTAGATAATGATTTATTTTACTCTTAGAATGGGGCGCCTACCTCGACTTATATTTTGTTTAAGGATATTTAAATCCCACAGTTTAAATTGTAAGTCGATCAACTCAGATAAAATAAAGTTACGAGATCATGGTTCGGCATTCCCGCCTGCTCGAAATGAGTTCTGTGAGAAATAATGGGTTATTTATGCTAATAAGTGACATAGTAAGTGGAAACAATGTAGTGCTACCTAATTAAGTATGTTTCTCGATCCATAAATCTACATGCGTAACACCTGCCAGCTGAGAAGTGTAAAAAAGAGGCAAATATCAAACACAATTTCATTATGCAACGCTATATTTGACTACATTTATGATGGTAATTAAACCTTTATTACGTTTTTCCGAACACGATTGCAGTAATAAAAACGTTAACACTGAAATTAATATCAACATGAAGGATGAAGAAAATGTTTCATAAAACATACAAATATAATTTCTAAAGCTTAAAATTAAAACATGTACAATCTTTATTTTTCTAATATTTACATGATTAAATCTATCCAAAATTACATATTATCTAATAAACCTATTCCACGCGGCATGGTGCCAAGAACGTTGCATTTCCTCGCTGAATAGTTATGCTTAAAAAAGAGCGAGAAAAAAACCAGCTCTCTTGTCACCAGCCGCGGCGTTAAGCCTAGGACATAAACTTTTAAAAAATTATCGCCATCGGATAAGTAAATGGCGCAAATATGTGTCTATATGTTTAGATTATGTATTTGTGCCATTTGCTGTTGAATCTTTAGATCCATGGGGTCCCCGTACATCAAAATTTTAAAAAAATACATAACTTCTTTAAATAAAACGTTTCAGTACATACCGAAACACGTTAAATGATCTAATTTAAACAAATCTTCCCTTCTTGTATGACATTATACATGAATACTTTTATTTTCCAAAGTTCCATAGTTTTGATGACTTGCGATTCGCAAGCCGTTTAACTAATATTTCATCGATAGTCACATTTATTCTTTTCTTTCAGATGATTGGCCAACCGTAATGTCAGAAAACGGCGGTACGGTTGTATCACGGGCGTCAACACCACGTCCCGCTGGTGATAGTACGGTGAACGCACCTCTGCGTTCCAGACATGACCAATTCCTCGCTAGCACAACCGAGAGAACCCAACAACGGCCCTCATCAAGCGGTCGTAATCCGAGCGGAAACTTCGATACAATTCCTTACCACCGCCAGATGACGGCTGGCTCACTTCTGACATCCACTCATCGTGAATCGTCAGCTTTCGTTCCTGTTGTACCAACGAGGGCAATACACCCCGTAATTTATCCCAATGAAATGCATCCAGCATTGATGTCGTCTGAAATAATTGAACGCGAAAGAATGCTAGAGAGAGACAGATCGGAGCCGGCGAAAGGCTCGCCCGATCGCGGCTCTGGTAACTTCGGCAAAAGAAATTCCTTCGACCTAATGGCCATGATGGTCGAGAAGAGAAAAGAGGTTGCACTGCGTGAAGCTGCTGCTGCAATGCTTCTTCCCCATCACAGAACTCCTTCGATAGATGGGATGATATCGGACAGTTCGTCCCAACCACCTATATATGGGCCTCCTGGTGCATTTCTTGGTGCGCCGGGTCCTTCGCCAACCACCGCTAATACGTTTACGTTTCCGGGGGCTGGACTATTTCCACCCGGGGCTGGACCTCATCAAATGCACCCACATATAGATCGGCGGTTGCTTAGAGCACCGGGCAGAGCATCTAGACCCAAAAAACAGTTCATTTGTAAATTTTGCAACCGTCAATTTACCAAATCATACAACCTTTTAATCCACGAGAGAACACACACAGACGAACGTCCGTATTCCTGTGACATCTGTGGCAAGGCATTCAGACGGCAGGATCATTTACGAGACCACAGGTAAGATAATTCAAAAACTTGCTTTTTTAGGCTTCGTCATAAGCTCTAAGATTAAAGTCATAAGGTAACTTGTTATGTAGTGTAACACGTTGGTAGGGCCACGCAGTTAATTAACGGTGGTACACGCAGCAGCCTCGGCTGTTTCACGAATGGACAGGCTCGTCTGGATAAGTACCACGACCTTACAAAAGACCGGCGTAAAGTGGAAGTATAACACTTTCGGGTTTCGTCTGGTGAGTGAGGTGGCCAGAGCCCAATTTTCAAAAGGTTGTCAACTCATCTGAAACCCTCGGGTTGAGCCATCAGGTGAACCGCCTGCTCGTTTGGCGACTTTTCACGTAATCTGGCATATAGTACGCGAGTAAAATATTCCAGCTTGAAAGAATTTATTTAATAGATCAAATTTTTGCTAAACATCTTATCATAATTTTATTCATTTCAATATATCAACAAAAGGGAAATGCAGTTATAAATCCTCTTACTATTTGCGTGAAAGTGCCAAATTTTATTTAATTTTATTATAACATTTCATACTACACTTATGTTAATAATATTATAATAAAAAGAAATGAAATACCTAAAATAATCTTAGTCTGCTGCATAAAATTAAGGCTACTTCTAAGCAACATTTTAGACGTTATTCCTTGAATAGAACAATGTTCATTTGATACGTAGAGCATGACTAATTTTTGTATATTTCAATTCATTCTACCAAAGCGGTGGCATTAAGTAGTACCTTATTTATATGCAAGTAGTCAGCAGTCGGTGTAACTCAAGTTGCAGATGTTAAGCCGAGTGTGGCCGCATCCGGTGCGTTACTTAGAATCCGAATATTTATAAAGTTTCTTGATCGTAGTATAGGTTCTTAGAAATCGAGCTATTTTTTACCGTGATCATCTGAGAACAAAGCTCATTACAGATTATTTTGTGTCGGTATTGGAATTATCTAATTCTAATTTATAGGGAATAGTGATTTTAAAAACGAATTCCAAAATCACTTTGTTATCATTCTCATGTAAAATCGGTGATGAAACGCATTAAATCCGATTTAAGGCATTGAAAGCTCAAATCCTATAAAATATAATAACATTAAACCTCGCTTTAGGGCGATCCGGGTCGATGGCATTTGAAACGATTCAGATAATTTTATTGTGCTCTATAAAAACCTGACAGAGCTCATACCACGGTTTTTGTTAGTGCCTCAAGGAGAAAATATATTTGGGTCTGTGAGTTTATTTAACATTCAATGTTTTCAACGTAATAGTTGCGACTATTTTAACCTTTCAGGGTACTACTTCTGATAGCGACTCAAAATACTAGTTGATTTAAAAAAAAAATGATACGTGAAAAATATTCATTTTGTTTTGCTATCGAAAAATAATATTTAGACACTGCGAAGGATAAAATAATCCGGAGTCAGAACAGTATTTTATCATTTAGATATCAAACCGTCACAAATATCAATTAAATCCTTTACATTGGAGACTGGGACTGAAGTTGATCCGTGGGAAATGCCTCTCGACTTTGTAAAGTATTGGATAAAGTATTTTCATTTTATCTTTGCTCATTATTCAACCTAGTTTGTTTTAAATCAAATAGATTCAGGTAATTTATATAGTTTTAATAGTACTACAATGTGCACTGATTACTGCAGAAGAATGTGTACAAATTAATAGTATTCTCGAAGTAAAATTTTATTTCCTTCATTGTTAAAACTTGAACATTGTTTATTCATACCATTCCAGATAGCTTAGTATTGTGTAAGTTATATAATAAATTTTAAAATTAATAAAATTATTGCATCTTTGTTACGAGTTTTGTTTGAAATTACCATTATTTTTCAATCAGTGTATCTAGCGCATCGTTGTATTTTATCCAATTATTGAAGGCTACATCACCTACAGAATGCGGACTTAGTGATATTTGATGTGCCTCAAAGCCCGACAGAGTTATTCGTCTCGCATTAAGTCACGCGTTTTTTCGACTTGGTCCGTAATTAGTTTAGAATCTGATGACTCATCTGTTTCTATTGGTGGCGTAGTCAGTAATGGAGAAATATGTATGAGTGTAAGAAGAGTAACCCTTACTTTTCTTTTTGTTCATAATTCAAAAACTTTCTTCTTTTTGGAATTTGCTTGAAGAATTTAAGTGAGTATTCTGGACTTATCTGGACCCAGTGAACGCCAACGTTTCTACATAAAATGATTACATATTCGATATTTAATGCCATTGCAATTACTACTCATTATTTACACCAGATTAAAAAGTATATACATGCCTATTTGTGAACGTACTTCCCATGACACTCGCATTTTTGAAGTAAAACTCCTTTAAGCACGACTAACAGGTAACTGAACGCTTGGACAACAACAACGTAACGGAAACGCGTAACGGTGATGATACGAGATAACACCTGATTTTTGAATTTGAATTTTAATTAGAAAAAAGTGTTGTAAAGGGTTGAAATATATTTATTTAAGAACTTGAAAGATATATATTAAGGCGAAAAGCTAGTTCTTTATATATAACAATTATTTTCTTGATAAACATTATTGGTTTATAATCTAAAACAAAAATTACAATTTTAAAATACAATGAACCATAGGGACGCGTGGATACATGAGAAATAATTCAAAGCTTTCGTTTCTTCTCAGTAATTTTGATTGAGTTAAAATTTTTCATTGTTTTCATGCGTGTAACCAAATTGAATTAAAACACATCGAGGAGGTTGGATTAACGTCGTGCACAAATAACTAAATTATAATGCGCAGTTTTTGGTCGCAATGTAATTATGTTACGATTGCCTTCATGCCTTCATAATCGGGATGTGCCCCGCGAGACTTAATGCCAGGTTATTACATTCCGTGCTATAATTAATAACCTCGAAGGAAAACACACTGACGCCTTTGACCCGCCAAGGACAACGGAGCTGCACGCTTATTTCACGATTCGCCGAAAAATTTGATATTCCATCACGACTGGTATGAAACCGTAACGACGTTGAAATAGCATATAATTACGATTATATGAGTAAGTGTCTTGGAAACGGTTAAAGAGGCTTTGTATCGTCTAAATAAATTCGAATCGATTTACTTGATGAATGTTATAAAGTAATGCCACCATTCAAAATAATGTGACTGTTTTTCCGATAAAGTTTCAGACAAAAAATATTGTTTGAATGTTTGTCACTATCACCAAAATTATTACAGAACAATTAAGTGAAATTCCCCGAGAGTTAAACATTCCTGTTAATGTGTCTTATTTTATTAATATTTAAAAAATAATGCATCGAAGAAATAATGAGAGACGAGTATCTTTTATTCACTCACGTATAGTTACAATGGTTTCAAAATTATTTAGATTTGTCAGTTGATGTTATTTCAAATCGGTATTTATTTTTAAAAATAATGCTCTTTGTCCAATGAAGTCTGCACAAGAATTATTATCGTATCGAAGTTTGCATTATCTCGGGGCACATGTGCAATTATGATTGGCCTGGGACCGCATATAATGGAGTTCGGGCAAACCTCCATTCGCCGGTTTCGATCGCTCAAGGGGCTGCAGCAAAAAGGAGTATCAAATTAATACTGAATCCATAATAAATCAAAGGGCAGGTGGACACGATGCCGGCGAGTATCGCCTACGGATATCTTTAGGAATCGTGTTTAGGCCAATCGTTGCGTGATCCTTTGCTTATTTCTTTCAGATCAGACGCTGGAATTTCTGATATTTTAATAGCTCAAAACTATTCAGTTTTTTCTTGTAAGGAAAGCCGGATCACGCAATGATACACAACCCTTTCTTTTCATTTTGCATTGCTTTTTCAATTTTATTATTCCTATATTTATAAAAAAAAGTTTTTGAAAAAAATTATTTAATATAATAATAATAAAAAAAATTATCCCCTGTGCCAGTCCTCTTTGTTTGTGAAAAGACACAAAATTTAATTCAATTAAAGGTATCAGGTAATTAAATAACTTGGAGTTATAGGTAAATAAATGTCAAAAAGTTGTTAGTGGTTGCCATGGCATGACATGGTGAAGTTGGTCGCTTTGCAACCAATTTCACCATGTCGCTTTTTGGCCGTCGGTGCCAAAAAAAGGTGAAAATTCTCATATTTTTTTGAACGCGCCAAAAGATGTATGAAATCAAAAATGTTCTGATGTCCCTGTCATAATTTTCTGAACTATATCTCAAATGATCGTTATATGATTGTTGTAGTATCCGGAACACATAGTGTTTTGTCTTGTCCCACAATCGTAACTTTATCTTTCAGTATTACTATACAAACGTTTTAATTATTCGTACTATAGCAGCTGTTCGTCATAAAAGTAACATCGATTAAACTAGAACTGGTTCCAACCATACAAGTAGGTATGAAAATCCATTTGAAATAATCGTGACCGCGGCTGAAGAATAATTAGACAGTTCGGATCGCCGATTTCACAGTTTCTTATTTGCCTTCGAAAGTTCTTTCTCGTCGTGTCCAGCTCACAACGGTTGGCCAATTTTAGGGTCCTTACACATTAGCAGCGCCTTCCCCGGTGTCCTATACACCTGCGTTCCAGAAATGAGGTCCGTTGTTTATTATTTATTAAGAAATACTGCCAGTGAACTGCCGCCGGGTAACCCGATATCTGTACAAAGATCTTTGGTGGCAGAATCTGTTTATACGGAGAAACTCAAATGGACCGAATTTAAATACTCAATGTAAACTGTAAACCTTTATCGGCAATGCTCGCTTAAATATTATTCGAATATAATCTGTAACGTCCAGTATAAAATACTTTAACAGCTGCCATTCTACGTTTGAATTATTCAGATGCCATTATTTTCGTATCGATAAGGACAGGTAGACGAATTATTCAAATTATACTTCGATGTTTCGCGTGTCTGGCTGCAGAACGCTTTTTGTCTCTAAATTTGGACCAATTATATTCGCGTGATGTAAGTCCATACGAATCTTTCTTCCAACTCAACATTATACTAAAAGATAGCAC